TCCAGGCTCTGGGAATGGGACTGGACAGCTTGTGCCTGTTCTAAGTGTATTTTTTCCTGCTCATTAACACTTTGCTCAATGCACTTTGTTTGGTGCCTGGGTTGTGATTTTTCATACAACTGTGGCTTAGCTATTTCTTCTTTATGGTGAGAGAAAAAATGGAAAAGTTGACAAATCTGATGTAGAGGGATTATTTATATGAAATAAAAGTTGGAATGAGGAAAAACCTCCTGTTTCTTATTATTTCTCAGTTCCACATGTAGAGATTTCCAAACTGAATCAGTAATCTCTGCTTTTTAGAGCAACAGCTCTAAACTGCAACAGCAGTTGAGAGCACTGATTCCTTCTGGAAACACTGAACTCCTGGGCTAGCTCAGCTTCCTCACCACAAAAGCTCCCTGCAGCAATGCCAGGAAGATGAGGATCACTTTTCATTGAGGCATCAGAGCCACCACCTCATCACCACTGCACTTTTCTTGCAAGCAAATCTAAGGGCAGCTCACAGAGTTCAGAGTCACCTGCCTGCATAGGACCTGTTCCTTTCCAGCAATGGCTGGTAGCTTAGGGATTTGGTGGAAGTTGTTCCAGCTTTTCCAGACAGAAGGGAAGCAGCAGCACTCCCAGGCAGAATGCTTTTTCCTTCAAACCAAAGGATCAGCTGACCACTGGACAGTGTTCTTTTCCTTAAAAATTTAGACATCAGTTTCAATGCAGCAACTCTGTAGCTAAAACTATCAGAATTGATCCCAGACTAGTGAGTCAGCTCTTGCATAAAGAAGGTGATTTAAGAAACTTTAAGCCAAGGACAAAAATACATTTGGATAAAATTGAAGATACTTGTTTCCAAAGCAATTACTGAAGGAGGCCATAACACAAAATCCTGACAGCAGTTCACCTGCCTCAACAAGTCCAATACCTGCAGCAGGAGCATACACACAGGCCACTAACCAGTAAAGCCCAATACAGAGTCTCCAGATATAAAAATAACAGAAAATTTCACTGGTTTTCCACAACAATCTCCCTTCAGATAAACTGGTTGCATGTGGAAGAGGACACTGGCACTTAGCTATCAATCTTGTATTTGAAGTGCATAATACAGTAATTAGTGCTTTTCAAGTCAATGGGAGGCCCAGAGCAACAGGATACAGCACTGCTGGGAAGTTCAGGACATTGCCTGCTGCCTTCCCTGGAAAGGTTGTACAGCAACAGCTCAACCAGCTCCCAGGCTCTGCAGCACTGGCAGGCAACACTGGGAAGTCCGTGGCTGATTCCTGCTCACACCATCCCAGTGCAGTGACACAGCACCTGGCCAGATTTCCCAACACTGCCTCTGAACACCTGTGGAACAGCCACAAGCCAAGCTTCATGCCCTTAGCTTCATGCTCCAGCTCAGCTATGGCTGTTTCTTACACCATTCCCCTCTCTGCGTGCTCCAGCAGCTCCAGGACTCGGAGCCAGCCGTTGGTAACACCCCCTGAGCAGCCCACGGAGATCAGCTTTGACTTCTCTGGGGGAAATCCCGATGCCCAGAAGCAGCCACTGGCGACACCATTCCCCTCTCTGTGTGCTCCAGGACTCAGAGCCAGCCGTTGGTAACACCCCCCTGAGCAGCCCACGGAGATCAGCTTTGACTTCTCTGGGGGAAATCCCGATGCCCAGAAGCAGCCACTGGCTTTGTTATCATCGCTACACCACACAACTGCTTTTCAGCTTCGCTCAGGGATTAAGCCAAGATTCCCTGTCAGAAATTCTGCACAGGAATCTGGGATTAAGATGATGTGCATTGCATCAGATGAGCCCACAAGAGAACACACACGGGGAAAAAAGGGCTTTTAGAGATGGAAACGTGAGCCAGCTGCTGGAGCAGATTACACGCTCCAGTAACTCTTTTTCCTGCTATTTCCCTTCCTTCTGGTCCCTCTGCATGTGCGTTACACTAAGTGCTCTCCTTGGACAAACAGGGCTCACTGGGACAAGACCAGTATGCACAGGCAGAGGGCAGGTATTAGATATCTACCACAAAGTAAAAAGCTTTAAGGTATTTCACATTTGAGTATTTCCTTCATTCAGGTGGCTTCCAGACATCTTCCTTGCTCACCGACATGCACACATGGGAACATGGCACAGCTCTGTTGGTAGGTGACATGCAGGACAGCAGCTGTGTGAAGGGAATAACCCTCCCCAGCAATTCCAAGGAATCAACATCTTGAATCACAAGGTTACAGTCATTTCTACCTAGGAAGCAACACACAACCCTTGTGGTGCCTGATACAATCACACTAAGTGAACCTGAATTTTATTATTTTTTTTAGGAGCAGTGAAGAGAAAGGGTGAACTGGAGCTGAAGTAACACAACAGACGACACAACCATCTGCCTTTTAAACCTCAGCTTTACCCCAGACTGGTGACTGCACCATTTTAGGGCACTAAAGCAATTCTGCTGTGATGCAGATGACTGTCTCAGTACAACGACAGCGACATAATGCAAAAATTCCCAGTCCAAGTATCTGTTGCAGCCAATCTACTTCCCAAAAAATCCCTAATGCCCTGAATTTTAAGTTAGCTTACACCTAGAAACCAGTCCAGATAAGCCATTTTTGTTACTAGAGTATTTGCAAAGTACACTTAGTCACCAATTTCTTCGACAGTCTGTCATGACAAGAATAAGAACCACAGCAACGGGCTCATCACAGGCTGGCAACAGCATCCCAGTGGAAACACATCTGCCTCTGGAGGCCTATGACTTGTGGCTAGGAAAAGGATGGGGACAAGATTGTAGCTGAAGAATACGGGTCCAGAAGATTTGGAAAACCAGGCTGCTGCAATCACTAAAGCTCCCTGGCCGTTAGGCCAGCAGCCCATAACCCTTCTGCATCTTCCCCAGGCAGCTTCCCCTCCCTCGCACACTCAATACAACTGGAGTGAAGCCCCAGGATGCTCCAAAGCCAGTTGTAATAGTACAGAAATAGCAGCATTTCACTGAAATCTGTTTGTCAGCAAAGGAGAAGATGCAAAAACACAGTCTGGGAACTCACCAAGCCTGCACTTTCCTACAGGAATGCAGACAGCCACAACCATCCTTGTACTGGCTCATCAACTATTTTTAGCACCAGAAGGGGAGGCAGCCATCAGTGAAGGGCCTGTTCCCTTTGATCCAGTGGATCTGAGCACTGTCTCTGTCCCAGAGATCCTCTGCTACCAAAACCACAAACCAGGTAAAGAACTTTAGGTTGTTCCTGCTCTGGAGTACAAGGCGTCTCAGCGGTTACACGACAGGTTGGAAGAGGGCCACGCAGCCCATTTAATTCCATTCACTTCCTCTCCCCTCTGCACCACGCAGCCAGGCTCTATTAGTCTTCTGAGAGCAACTACAGTTAAAGTGAAGGATGCCAGGAGGCCCTGGGCACTCAGTGCACAGTGGATGCAATTTTCAGAACCGCTAGAGTCACCAGCTCCAAGCTGCAGGCTAGCAGCAGAGAAATCCCAGCATCCATGTCACTGCATGCAGCTTTATTTATCTCCAAGGTTTTACAAGCTAAACACAAGCTCCTTCTCAGAGACACTTCCCAACTGGTTCTGCATTACCACCTGAGCTGAGAAGCAAACTAAACTCAACTGGCACCACAATGAGCCTGGTTTCTCTGTCATTCATTCCTCCCTCGGGAAGCTGCAGGAATTTTCTCCCACAATCAAAGGTGTACCCCAAGGCCAGCAAAAGGCATTGCTGTCACCAGGACCCAGAACTGCTGTGGGCATGAGCAGCACCACAGAGAGGGATCAACATGCTGCAGGCAGAACCACCAAAGGAACACATTCCCCCACTCACAGAACAGACACCCGTGGGGCCCAGAGCCAGTGCTGCTCCAGGACACTCAGCCTTCCCCCTGTGGATGAACAGGGAGAGCAGAGAAGCACCTCAGGACGTGACAGCTGCAGGGCACCCGTCTGCTGACACAGTGCTTCCAGCTCTTCCATCTGCCCCGCAGGAGGGTGGCAGTGATCCCATGATTTTGGCTAAAGTGACTAAGCGGGATCGTTTTGTCCTTCCCACCAATTTTTTGTTTCAACAACACAAAGCATTCCCTGCATGCTCCCCAGAAAACTGGAAAGGAGGGTGAAAAGAAGATCACAAATCACTCTCCTTCACCTCATTTTTCCCTGCAAACCCTCTGTTCCTGATTCTACCTTTCACAGATGCTGTAAAGGCAATGTCCAGCTGACGATGCAGCCTTAACAAACCACCACAGTCCCAAACTCCAATTTTGATATGAAACAGCTTTCAAGCAGCCAAGTGCCATATTTTATGGTACCTTTGTGATCTGCACAACTGAAATATGTATGCCACGTTACACCACATTTGCATCCTTCAGCAGAAGGAATCTGAACTGCTGTGATTCTTTCACAGAGATGCAGCACAGCCTGGCAGCCTCACAGATTCAGCTGAATCCATCCATCTGGAAAGCAGCAGCTTGGAACAACATGGCTCTTACGCTTTCCTAGTTTATATCCCACATCCTAGAGTCATTAAAGGCCATTTTTTCACCCTGCTCATCAAGGAATAGAATTTCTGAGGACCACCGGGCAGGAAACCATGGAGCTGGGAGGACACCTTCCCAAGACTCACCAGGAGCTGCCTGGGCCAGACCTACCCTGGTTCTGCATGTCCCAAAGGTGCAGAGACAATCTAAGCGCTGCCATCCCTCGCAGGCAGCAGCACAAGGGCACAACCATGCCACAGCCCAGAGCCCACCGGCACCCACCGCCACAGCTCCACCTGCTCTGCCAGCACAGATCAAACCTTCCCAGCACCACTGCTTCGTTTCCACAATTAGCCACGCACAGAGGTTTCTCCAGCCTCACCTATGGAGACCAGTGACAAATGAATCAACATCATATACCATAGTTGCCCGTTGCAGTGGCCAAATTTTTGCTACTCAGACCCCTTCCAGTTCCACATTCCTCCTCCCACCACCGAAGAGAACATACTTTGTTACAGAGACTTTCATATTGGGAAAATATTTTAATATAGTAAACAAGTCAATTTACCTTCCACATATTTTAAATAAGTTTATGCTCATCGTTAAACAAAAACTGTTTTTACTTCAACAATGGATTACAGCCTCTAAATTCGTATTGTTCCCAGCTGATCCTGTAAATAGCGAGGAATTTTGGACACCGATATCCTTGTATAGGTAACAGACTGGCATAAACAGCGCAGGAATTCAATGCGGGTTCAAAGGGAGAAGCTAGCCCTGGTGAGGAAGAAAACGAAGCCACAAAATTCCCTTTTGAGGAAAAATCGGGGGGAAAAGAAGATACCGCAGTTCCACCGAGTCCAAACGGGGTCGAGTCAGTCTCCAGTCAGTCTCCACGGGCGCTGCACGGTGCCGCAGGGACGGGCGAGCCATCGGTCTCCATCCTCGGCCGAGCCCCGCGGCCGCATCCCCGGCGGCGCGGCCTCCCGCGGCCCGCCCGGCTCAGGGGCTGCCGGCGCCCGGCCCNGGGGGCGCGGCGCGGAGCTGCGCGGGGGTGGCGGCGGCGCCGGGGCCGGGGCTGGAGGAGCCGCCGCTGCCGCGCACCGGCTGCCAGATGAGGCTGTAGTAGACGGCGAGCACGATGGCGGCCAGCGAGACGGAGAGCACGTAGGCCAGCACGGTGGCCAGGCGCACCCACTTCTTGTTGGTCTTGGCCGCCATGCGCGCCTTCTTGTCCCCGGTGTAAGTGGCGGGCTTGCCCCGCTCCGCGCCCGCCTCCTTCTCCTTCATGGAGGCCCGGCCCTTGGCCCGCTGCTCCACCGAGCCCTCCGTGCTGGCTCCGGCCCGGATCGGCCGCCGCCGCCGCTCAGGACATGCCGGTACCGCCCGCGCTGCCGCCGGTGCCGCTGCCCGCGCTGCCCCGCCGGGGGCGAGGGGCGGAGCGTAGGGGGCAACCCCGCCCTGAGGGGTGGGAGCGACAGGAGGGGCGGAGAGGGCAGGGGAGGAGCCCGGCCACCTTTAAAAGGAGCCCCCGCCCCCGCTGCCCGGGTCTCCCCACCCCTTGCCCGCCCCGCAGTGAGGGGTGGCCGGTGAGCGGTGCCTCGGGGGCAGGGGCAGCGCTCGCCGAGCCCCAGGACGGCTTCTGGCACGGCCTCCTGGAACGCGCCCAGCGCTGGAGGAGGTCAGCAGTCTCCTCTCTACCTTGGCTTCCCGACGGAGCTCCTTTTTGCGGTCTCCCTGATGCAGGTATGTGCTGCCTGCTCCTCTGTGAGGCTGCAAGGGTGCCCCAGCCAAGTGACAGTTTTTTAGAGGGAAAGGCTGCCTTAGTTTTGTTCAAATTGGGCTCTTCCCAAGTCCGTTATTGACACAATCTAAACCTCCTCTTAAGATATGGCTTCACCTTACTCCACAGGTGTTAGCTCCCTACAAAATTGTTCTATTGTCTTGCTCAAAAGACAACTAAAATGCTGATTTGGGATATAAATTAGCTTTTTTTTTTTTTCTTTATGGTGCAGGAAAATTACTTTCAGGAATTCTATTGTGCCTTCTGCAATCATTTATGTTCAAAAGACAACTAAAATGCTGATATAAAGGATATAAATTAGTTTTGTTTTTTTTTTTTTTCTTTATGGTGCAGGAAAATTACTTTCAGGAATTCTATTGTGCCTTCTGCAATCATTTTCTTCCTTCAATCTGAGGTCGGTCAGGTGTGGTGGTTGCAGCAAAAACCTCTTGGAAACCAGGACTTCTAGATCTGGAGGAGGCTACAGCAACTGAAGAACTGCCTGTTACCCAGAGGCTTCCCCAAGAAGACATGTCATGGAATAAACGGAGTAGCTGCAAAATAATTGTAATTCTTGGAAAGGGAATTTGTAGCAATTACTGCAAAGTGGATTTTCTAGTAATTTTTATGTGTTTTCCCTCAATGATGGCTTTGCTCCAGCTCTTTCTCTTTTTTGGTTCAGCAGGTGAAATGATGAGGAGTTACTACCTTCCACAAGTCCCTTCCCTATGCTCTTGCTTAATTCCAGTTCAGAGGCAGAGGGTTGGCATGTACCGAGAATGCCTCTGGGCCTTAGTGAGGTCTTGACAGTTTCTGCCTGGTGCTTGTTGGGCTGAAGCACTGAGGCCTGAACAGCAGGCCCTGAGCAAAGCTGACCTCTCGATGAACCTTCCAGCCAAATGTTCTGTGTATCCACTCCTATCAACCAATACCATTGGAAATACGATAGATGTATCTGTTCATTCTCAAAACATGTGTTCACCTTTCCCTATTTAGGAACCAGATAAGGCTGGATGTGCAGAACTGTTGGAACATTCCCAGCAAATGTTCTGAGTGTGATGGGCTTGCAATGTTCTGCCTTCAGCCCAACAGCTTCACCTCCCTGTTGCATTTATTTGTGACTCACTCATGCTGCAGTAGAGACTTGTCTTTCCCAAAACACACAATTCTGTGGTAATATTCAAGAAATTTGATGTTCTCAAGGCTCTCTTCTCCCTCCAAACCCTCTGCTCTGAGGGCTCTGAGTAAGACCACACTTGTGTTCATTAAATGTGAAGTCTTGGCTTTTGCCAAGGTCAGATTAAAGCTTTTCATTTTATTGCAGACAAATAAGTGGGTGTGAGCTTCTCTCCAGGCAGCTGTGAGCAGGTCTGTGCCTTCTTTCCTAAACAGAACTCCTTGCTAACAGCCACCCCTAAAGGAGCTGCAGTAATGGTGCTTGCTTTGTCCTTGGGGTTTTAGCAAAAACACCAAGCTGTGCTCTGAGTGGACTCCTGTGGTGCAAAACTGGAGCTCTGGGGTCTTGTAAAGTCAGTGACTATGTCTGATGCTAGACACAGCTTGCAAATTATCCCTCTCTAGGATTCTTCCTAAAGAGCACAGAAGAGATCCCTTGCTGGAGACAGAGTCAGGGGTACATGATGCACTCAGGGACTCCTGCCAAGGAAGGAGAGCTGCAGAGTCCCTAAACAGCCTTCCTCCCACCATGCCAAAAACTGCTCTGCAGGCTCCTGTTCTTTATAAGCTCCTTTAATTTTGACTTCTCATGTCTGAGGGTCCACTAGAAAGCTTGAATTCTGCTGCTACCTCTTGCAGTGGGATGTTTGTTTGCTCTCCAAGGGCCCCTGAAGGATGTAGGTAAATGAACTTGTGTTATTGATTTTCCACAATTACAGTCAGTGAATAGCCTCCCAGTGCTGCAGGACAGGGAAGACTTAATTAAGGGAAGATTGCTGGCCTGAGATAGATTCTCTCCATGCAAACCCTGCTTCTGAGAGTAGCAGAATACTGGATGGGATGCCTGGGACATCCCTCTGAGCTCTGCAAAGGCCTTTGCAGGGAGGAGGGGAATGCTGTAGGTTGAGGCTGGATATTACGGAAATGAGAGCTTTGGGCTAGCATGTGGAGAAGTGAAATTTGTGGAAGGGTCAGGGGAGACCATGGCTGACACCTGTTCAGTTTTGTAAACTGAGTAGGCAAACAGTTGGAGTGAGTTGGGCTGGTGCAGTGGGAAGTAAATGTTGATGAGCTTAAGAGCAGAATGGGGCTTTCTCCCCCAGTATCCTAATTTCCTGTGCAGTGTTTTGTACTGGAGGTAAATACAGGTGGGAAGTGGCTGCATCCACCTTCAGGTGTGGTACAAGTTGCTTTCTTCTTGTTACTCTGCTACTGAAGTGTACCATGAGATGAGCACATTGTTTGTGTGCCACTGCTCCTCATGCTCTTCCTTTCCTGTTAATGACCTGTCTTGGAAAGTCTTGTTCTTTTCCCAGCAGTGAGGAATGGCACGGTTCAGCCAGCCCAGGGCAGCAGTGACTTGGCACTGCAGGAATGTGTGGGATGTTTAAATGTGATCCTCCTTGCAGCACTCACTGCGCTGCTTGGAAATACGCTGAAAGCCATCAGTGCTGTAAACACAGCACACTGCCCAGTGAGCAGTTAATTACAGGCCTAACCATGTCTTGGTGAATGGACAGATAGTTTCTTGGGCTTTGGGGTTTTTTTTTGCACAAGACCTCACCGCTTTTATGGCTTTGTGGCATCTGTGGCCACTTCTCTGTGCCATAGTCCACTGCCCTCTGACTTTTGCAGATCAAGCTGCAGTCATGCTGAGAGCTGTCAGGAGTCCTTGGCCTCGTGGTTTTGGCTCAAAGTGGGACACAAGATATGTCCCTGTACACACACTCAGCAGTTCTGCTCTCTAGGGTGGTAAGAAAATATTGGCTTTGTGGTCTTAATGGTATCGTTAATCCCTTCCGGATTGCCAGCGTTCTGAGGCAGAGCAGCCACAGGAGCAGTGGGATGGGCTGGCATCTGCAGAGCTGGGAGTTCATTGCTGATGTGCAGTGTCACAGCTCCTCACTAGAGGACAGCATTACACATGGCAAAGTAATTCTCCTGCAACAATGATGGGAGAGATCTCTTACAGATTTTCTGTGCCAGGAGTAAGCTGGGGTGGAGGTTCTAGTAATTTGCTGGAGGTCAGGAGGGAGGTTTAATGGTGTGGCTTAAATCAGTGTCTGGAAACCTTGTCTGAAGGGTGATGCTGCCTGCCTTGCTGCTGCATGCACGCTGGGGGGGTACAGGCTGCTGGATAGGTAGTACAGGGAGAGAAGGAAGAATACTAAATTTTTAAAAATGAAATGTTTGCATATTGAAACTGTTGTAGCAAGTAGTGTGTTGTCTGGCAGGGAAGGTATGGGAGGAAAGCAAGGAGACAGAGGGGTGTGGGATGAGTGTACACTGGGTGATGGGCCTTCTAGGAGAGAGAAAATAAAGGATTCTTTGAATAAACCAATAGTGCTCAAGTGCTGCTGTTCGTGCCTGCTCTGATGTTGGAGCTCTCTGCAGAGGGCAGTACTGCTGTTCTGTCCTATCAGGGCTCCATCAGCCATCTCTGCATGCAAGGGACAGAGGCTCCTACAGAGCAAGGAGTGTGAAGTGGAAGATAAGGAGGCTGGGTTGGACAAGAGAAAGGGAGCTGCAGCTTTTGTGACAACCTCTGTGCAAGTGGGGCTTTGGCCCTTGCTGTTGGGCATCATGTGGCCTTGCAACCAACTTGGGCACTGCTCTTCATGCTGCTTGTGTTTGGTTGGGTCTTAATTATGATTTCATTATTCATTGAATTAAGATTTTATTCCTTATGGGAAGCTGACCTTGAGCAACCTGTGAGTTAAGCTGTGGCAGAATTCTTGCTACTTCATTGATGAGGCAGAGAAAGCTGGTGAATATCCGGGTGTGAGAGAAGGACAGAAGCAGCCTGTCAGTGAGGCCCTGGCAGGAAGCACACTTGCTTCACAAAGCTCTGATAACTGATAGTACCAGTCAAGCCACGGGATCCAGTAGCTATGACTGATCTCACCTGCCCTTAGCAGTTCCAGGTGGCAAAGCTCATCCCACCTCTCACTGCTTTGCAGCTGTGACCTTCAGGGCCTTCCTGCAGTGCTGTCAGTGTTCCAGAGGCTGGGAGGACTGCAGCACCTCTGAGTAAGATTAATGCACTCTATTCTCTCCATTGCTGCTCTCTAATTTAAAGGGAAGCAAACCTGAAGCTGCTCTGGCCTTGCAGAAGAGATCAGGCAAGTGTAGAGAACTTTCATTCCTCACTGCACCCTTTGTCATCTTCTGCTTCTCTGTTTGGGAGTAACCACTTTTCCTGAGTGTGGGATCCTGGTGACATGGGCTTGGCTGGGCCTGGAGTATCCCAGTCACCCTAAGGAAAGAGCCAACTGCCTTCTGTTGGATAGCTAATTCCTGTAAGTGCAGGATTGATAAGTGCAGAAAATGCCATGGTAGCTGGAAATGTGGAAGCTCTCTTATTCCCAGGGGGGTTTTTTTGGCAGGTAAACCCCTTGAAAGACAAAGGATGTTGTGTTTGCTCAGGGTTCTCTTATCCTGCAGCAGGGAGCTCTGATTCCTGCCTTTGTTTTACAGTTGGAGCACTTGCTAGAGTCCCACTTAATCTCTCCTGCTCATGCCACTAGCACCTGAGAATGCCCTTAGGATTCCTTCAGTGACCATTCCCCAGCTGTCCAGGCTGCTCCAAAGTGCCAGACTTATCACATCAGGGCGGGGAAGAAAGGAAGGAACAAAACGTGCAGCTGGCTCCCCTTAATGGGGGGGGGGGGGGTTCTCCCGCTTTTTTCTGTGCCACTTTTGCCAGCAGCTTGTCCCTTTTGAGCAATGGCAACCTTGGCTTTGATAGGAGATGAGGATGACATCCCACGGTGTGCCTGGGAATCCACAGCAATCAGAGCACAGTTATTTCCACTTGTGATTAGTTGTGGGGCTCTGCCTCTGACTAAAATTGATCTTGGCCATGTCATGCCTTTTCATAAGCTGCTCTCCAGGTTAGCCAGTGCCCATCAGGAGCTCCTTTTCTTCTCTGCTGCCCACGTGGAATTCCTTTGTTCCCAGGTCATGAGCAGAGACTCGTTTTGGCCCTGTTTGCCTTTAACCTGTTCTGCTTTTGGTCACTTCCCTGCTGCTTTGTCACTATAATCCCCATCTTGCCCACCTCTCCTGTTCTGTGTCCCATGTATCTGCCACAGAGCCAAGTGAGTCTGTGGAACAGCGCAGTTCCTGGGACTCTGGGAATGTTTTATTTCATCTGGGGAATTTCCAGCTGCCCTGCTGGTCTGTCTCACTTTGAGGATGACATTCAGAAGAGCCCATAAGAGAAAGGAAAACTGTTTAAGACTGGACAGTGCAGTGAGTGGCCCCAGAAATGGAATCTGTCCAGAGCAAGGAAGGAGTTTGTTTCCTGGGACATCTGGCCTCTTGCATGAAGGGGGCAGTCTGCGTGTAGCCAGAGCTGAGCTGCTCCGTAACCGCAGCTGCTGAAGCAGTTGGAGCATTTCTGGCAATGCCTGTACTTCGTCAAGAGAGCATTTAAGGAAGTTGAGTTGCGGAAGTTCACCGAGCCGGGTGCCTCACCAGCACAGCTCCAAGGAGTGGATCCCTCCCGGAGGGCTGGTGGGTGTTCGTGCCCACCAGCACCCCAGCCATCGCCAGCCTGCCTCTGGGTGACCTTGGGTGAGGCTCTGCTTGCCTGGAGAGCTGTTGATTTACAATGCAGATTCAGCGCTCCTCGCCTGCCTGTCCCTGCCCCTCCTAAATTGGGCTGGGATATAAGAGGTTGTTTGCTCTCCGATGCCAACAGTGGCCATGGCAGAACGCCCTGCCACGTGAGAGGCAGAGATAGAGGAGAGGGGGCTAAGGAGGAGTGAACTGTGCCGTTGCTCGTGCTTCTGGTAGCTGAGGAGCACATCTGCAGGACCATGTCTGTGCTGAACCCTGTCCTGCAGCCCACGGAGGTGAAGGAGTACCTGTGCAAGGGCGACCGCTTCATCAAATGGGATGATGTAAGTACTGGGGTGTTCCTTCTCTAGGCTGTGCCTGTGGTGGCAGGGAGACACTGCTTAGGTCACAGTCTGTGGGGAGGTTGGGAGCCTGTGTTCAATGTGGTATCCCACTTGACAACAGAGATCTCTGGATGGGTAGAGGGAACTGGGAACAACAGGAAAGCTGAGGACTGAAGTAAAGGGGATGTTGTGTGTGTGTGTAAGGGGTTGGAGATAAGTTTTCTACACCTCTTATAGTGGAGGATGGAAACAAATGGTGTGAGTGTGCACTGGGTCTGTGTGTGCAGCCCCTGGTGTAGGACAGAAGGTCCAACCCTTAGGAAGATAGTCACTGCTGGGAGTCCCTGTGGGGTGAGATGCAAATGCCACATTTGGACTTTCTGGAGGAGCATGAGGGGTAGGATCTACTGCAGAGCAAAGAGCACGCACTGCACTTTTCAGATAGAGATGAAATCAGGCTCCAAGTTGCTTCCTCTTATGGCCCTGTTGCCTGAGTGGATCGGGGGTGAGCCATGGCCTCCCACGCCTGCCCAGCCACTGGGTCTGGGAATGACTGAACAGCAAAGGGCCTGTGCTGTAACAGGGCTGAAGCCTCAGCGTGCTGCAGCAAGCTGCTGCTCTCTCCAGCTCATTGTCCTCTTTACCTTCAAAACAGCTGCTTTGCAGTCACTGCCTTTCTGTGTGAGGGCAAGAAAGTGTAGAGCAGGAGCAGTTAATTGGAATGTAAGGGTTTCCCTCTCCACTTTCTAAGGAGGCAAAAGAATGCTTTTGCCAGCACCCACAAACCTGAGCAGCAGGACAGCAGCTGCCCATCTGTGCTGTCTGGAGATGGACTGTCTGCTGTTGAGCATGAATGTTGATGAAAGGGGGAAAGCCCACATTATGGATATTCACAGGGGTCTGGGGAGATGGCTCATGGGTGTTGCAAATGAGATGATCAGAAGGAGCCTGCAGCAGCAGTGCAGGAGGGATTAGCACTTTTGTGGGTGTGAAGCTGGAATAGAGTGTTAAGTCCCAGAGGAGCATGTGGGGAGTGGATCACCTGTGCACAACATCAGCGGGGTGCTCCAGTGGCACTGAGAATGAGAGCAGTGTACTGTGCAGCTGGCAGGAAGGATGGATGTGAGAATGTGAGTTGGAATATGGCTGCCAGTTCCCCTGTTAGCAGTACATAAACAGGAGGATGACACCGGGGTACAGTGAAAAGCACAGCCTTCCTCTTTCCTGTGGGTCCACTGCCTGCAGAGTGCACTTGGGGCTTCTTAGAATTTGAAATCTGCTTTCTCAGAATAATAGAAGCCAAACTTGTCTAAAATTGCTGATGAGTTTGTGCTCAGTCCTTGGGGACCATTCTCCCAAGAACTGGAAGCTGTTAAGTACTTCACTGGATATTCCTGGGATAGGTTCTCCTGAAAACCAAGGTGAGTCAGTTGGGCTTCCAAGACCCACCAAGTGTTTATTTCCTGCTGTAGCTGTTGATTAGTGAGCTCAATTCCCATCTGGCTCTTTCCTTAAGGTTTATATATTTGTAAACAGTTCTAAGCGGTTGCCTCAACTAAGTGGTTTACAGGCTTGATTTCCACCAATCAAGAAAGGCTTCTCCATGAGTGGGCTGTTCTGGTCACATTGCTCCATCACACTGGGCTTTCCCAATCCATGGTTAGAACAGGCTGCAGAGGATGATGGTGAGAGCTCCAGATTGCAGGATTGCTGCACTTTAGAATTCATGAGTGTTGAGTGTTTTGTATTTTCAGTTGACATGACTGTACTGCTGGTAACAGTGTTGAACTCCCTCCAGGCTAAGTGAGGCAAAGGAGTTAAGGAAGATCAGATTGGCCTCTTGCATCACTGTTCAGCTTGGGACTGAACTAGGGCCTTCCAGCAAAAAAACTAATCCACACTTTTTCTACAGAGCCCTCACCTTGTCCAGCTTTGGTAAGACACTGTCTAAAGGAGAGAGCAATGGATCCCTGACAGGCAGGACTGTTCTGACCTGTCCCACAGAGTTAGTTGCAGGACCCTGGGGTAAGGAGCAGCTCTGCAGTGCTTTGTTCAGCATCCAGCAAGCTGGGGCTCCTAAGCAGACTGAAGAGGTGAAGTTGTGCTACATGGGTGGTAGCTGAGTTGAAGAACCAGCTGGGAACCCTGTCAGAACCCCAGGCAGGGCACAAGGCAATAGCTGACCTCTTGAGCAGGGCAGGTGGGTATGGGTTTGGCTCTGTGCTACCTCTGAATCCTCATAGTAGAGTCAAAACTGTTCCTATCTCTGAAAGATAATGGATTACAGGATTTTAGCAGACAGTGTTTGCTTTTTGCCCCACAGTGAGAAGCAGCCAGTTTGACTGTCAGACCATCTTCTGTAAGATTGCCCGTTTCCTTTGCTGCCAGGAGCTGCCCCACTGGAGAGGCTGCTTGCACCCCCTGGCAGGCCTGGCCCTGCCTAGGAGTCTGGCTGGCAGCAGCTTCCTTCAGCCTCAGCTTGCCCTCCAGAAGGTGCTTTGTGGGAGATAAGGGTAATCTAGAACATGGCACAATCCTCTGTGGTGGTACTGTGGGGTCTGTTCTGCTCTCCATGGCCATGTGTGCAGGGAGCCAGCCAAGAGCTCTGGGAACAGGGACATGGTGCTGGCCCTGGCACAGCAGGAGGAAGACAGGAGGCAGTAAAAGGACCACATATGATGTGCTGTGCAATGAGCACTTTACTGCAAATATTGTGTGTGGAAATGGAGGTCCCTGAAAATATAGATACACTCTGGAGTGAAGTAGGAGTCAAAAATCTCAAGAAACTGAGGCCAAGAGACAAGTACAACTTCCAGATTTCATTACTGGTTTCATAGTAGCAGTGATGTGCTTCAGCTTCCTGAATTGAATTTGGAGCTTTCCCAGAAATGGCTGTGTGGGGTTCAGGATCAGCCCCAAATGATTTCATCTGATTGCAGCCTCTGGTGTGGGTGTCTGCACAGCTGCTTCTTTCTATGGTCAGTGTAGAGACAATGTGTGGAGTTTCAGAATCCCCATCTGAAGTAGCATAACGATGCTGCAGTGATGCATCCCCTCCTGGAAGCCTTCCTGACTAGGAGCCTAGATAATCTGCATGGACACCTGGATGGGAGATGCCATGGATGAATGCTTTCTCTGTTTGGCCTGATTACTCCTGAGCCTGTGGAATGAAGCAGGTCAAAGAAGACTTTTCAAATGAAACAATTAATTGGATCTCCAGATACTTTATCTCATTTCTTTGTGTAGAAAGCTCCAAGAAAGCTGTTCTTGTTAAATGCACAGGTTAGGTGAGACTCAGGATTCAGCTTCTGGAGCCTCACAGGTGTCACTGTGGAGATGTCCTAAAATTCCTGGGTTTGTTTTCATAAATCCCAGAGGGTGTTCACCTGCCTGGGTCTGTATTTGAACTGGGAGCCTTGTGGATGTTTTCTCCAAGTCATCCGAAGTGCCAACATTCTTTCTTGTGTTGTTTTTTCTGTCAGGAAACATCAAATGCTTCTCCTGTGATTCTCCGAGTGGATCCCCAGGGTTTTTACGTGTACTGGACCTACCAGAGCACGGTAAGTGCTGAGGCTGCTCAGCTCGGGCTCCAACCTGCCAGGTCAGGTTTGTGTGAGATCACAACACTGCGAGTGCTGGAGTCCTGCAAACTGCCAGACTCATTCCTCTTAGCAGGGACACCCCACCAAGGAGTGGGAGCTGGTCAGTGGCAGGCTGGTCTTCACAGCACCAGCAAAGTGCAAGAACTGAAGGTGTGAGTGTGGCCTTTCTGGGCCTTTCACACTTTCACCTTTTTTGACTCCTGCAAAGCTCATTACGTGTCCTTCAAAGGACTTCATGGAGAACAGTTGTACTGATATCCCTGTCACCCAGCAAGATACAGGCTTCTCCTAACCTGTACAGTGGGGCCATTGGGGTTTTAGACATTTTAATTAAAAAGTAGTGACCGTAGTGATGTAGGGCCTACATAGAGTCTGGAGAACAAGTTGTGCTCAAGGTGATGTTGGCAGGCTGCTGGAGCAAAGCAGAAGATGTCAGCTGCTGGAGGAGAGGGAGAGACAACACATGGAGGAAAGAGAATTCAGTTCCTCACTGATGAGTACATCAAGTGATGGAGAGGGAGGTGGAAGGCTGGGCTTACTTCTGCTTTCCAGAGCAGGCTGTGGTTCAGCTCTACTTCCTCTGCCTGACCTACATGCCATGGCAGAGTGAGACCGTCCTGCACAGGCCCTGGCCAGGGACCTGGTGGGTTTGGGCGAGCTCTGCCTTTCCAGATTGTGCCCATTGCCAGCTGGGACCAGACACTGTCACAGCCACATGCCTTGAGAACAGTGTCACACCCCTTGGGACTGTCACACCCCTTGATGTCTCTGTCACTCCTGTTCTGCTTTCAAGGTCCCCTTGGGCAGTAGAATATCTGCTCTAAGGGTGCCAGCAGGAAGAAGTGGAGCATGAAGTGAGGCAAGGGGAGCTGGTGTCACCATGGAAAGGGACATACTTCATTGGGATACCCGGGGAAGGGGCTGGGGGAAGGAAGCATAGCTGCTACAAGCAAAGCCGGACTGGAAAGGGTCTCACATTCCTGGAAAATGCTGTTGGTTAGCAGCTAAAGTCAACTTAACTGCTTTTGCACTTGGGACTCAGAAAGGAGTGGGATTAGGAGTAAAATTACTTCCTGCTTAACAATAAAATGGGGATACAGCCAGATGACATGGCATCCACATTGTCCTGTAATGTGATCTTGGAAAATAATATTATCTGCTGCAACAAATATAATTTGTTCTCCAGATCCATGGTGAGAAGAAAAATTAGTAACAGAGGAAGGAAATTCAGGTTGGATATTAAAAGAACAAACAAGACAGCAAGCCAGTAGTGAGGACACAGAGGGGGTGCCTGGGGAAGGCTGTGCAGTGTCCTCTGTGGGAATGGCTTCCCTCACTGCCTTGTTCCTGCTGGGAGAGCTCTTCCACAGGGAAAGACACTAAGCTAAACCTGATTTACAGCTTCTGGGGGCTCTGTCATGGCGTGCTTTCCTTCCTCCTTTGTCTTTCCTCATTCTCCTTGTCCTTATTCTGTTTGTAGGAAAGAGAAATTCTGGATATCACCAGCATCCGAGACACCCGAACAGGGCGATTTGCCAAAATGCCCAAGGTGAGGCCACAGCTTCTTTCTGTCCTGTGTTTCAGTGGAAAGACAGGGCTGCCTGAGGTTTTGGTGGGCTCAGGAAGTTTGTCCTGGATTTCTGTAGGAAGAAGCTAGAGAGGATCTCATCTCCTTGCATCTCAGTTATGTAAATTCAGAAAAGTCATCTTGACTCTGGTCCCTGACCTCCTCTGTGCACCCAAAAGCAGCACTTCCAGACTATGGTAGATGGGCTTATTGGAAGGAATATGTCAGAAAGCCAGGAAAACCAATTCCCCTTCCAAGTGCCTTGCTGCACTGGTAAGTCCTGCTGGAGACTGATGCTCCTGCACTGAGACACCAGAGCTGCTCTTGTGTAAGCATGCACAGGGTACCCACAAATCTGGAGTCACAATGTCATTCCCACAGTGTGTGCACGGTTTCTTCCCAGTGTGTTTCTTCCCTTTAAAGGGAAAAAAATGCATTTTCAGAAAAACTAGTTGTATTCCCCCCCCAATATATTTTTACATTTGCACATGATCAGGGCTTTGTTCTTGATTTCAGTTATAATTGAAGCTTCTTGCAGCCCTTGTTAGGACTTTGCTTCTAGGACTTTTTCTTTATTTCCATGTATGGAAAAAGCAAGCAAAAACTGCAGCAAAGCACAAAGGTGGAAAAGGGACCAAAGAAGTAAAGATGATGCATCATGTGGTGACATAGGTGACTCTCTAAAGCAAAAGGGAAAGGTTTTGCAATTTCTCCTGAGCCTCAAGCAGCCTTTTGCATAAGTTGTATGGCTGTTTTCTCAATCTGCTCTGAAAATGTCTATTCAGAGCTCCCCAAGACCAATATTTCTCAAAATACCATAAAAAGGTGGGTGCTAAAAGCACAGCAGAGCTCATGAACAGTACCCATCATAAAAATAATTTCCTTCAGAGAAACTGCCCTTCTCCTTAGAAGTTCACTAGAATGGAACATACTTCAGTTTTCAGTGAGCCTAAAACTTTGTCAACAACTTGTTTTGTGGGAATTGTGCTTTAAAAATGCTGCCAGAGGTTGGCTTTTCATTTGAGAGAATAAAATATTTGAGGCTGTTTGAGTTGGTGCTGCCCTCCGGATGGGACACACTGAGGAAGAGGCTGACTTAAAGGAGAGGTATGAGATACTCTTTTCTAGGGTGTTAAACTTTGAGAACCTGTTGGCAAAATGAACTGAACTTTGATATACATAATTGATTGCTGGGGAAGTACTGAGGCCATGGCTGGATGTCCTGGTGGTAACAGGAGGCTGGAGAAACATAGCCTAGTTTTTAAGAATTAGTTAAGGAAGACTAATTGGAGAGTACCAGAAAACAGTTGGCCAATGGTACAGCGTTATTTGGGGTAATAAAATCAGGCTGGTTTGTAGGAAGACCTTGAATTGCTGATTGAATGCATGATCTAATGAGTGATACAATTTATGCAGATAAAAATCAGGCAATGCACACAGAAAAAAATCCCTCATCCTTCTGTAATAACAGGTCCTGAGTTCACTGTTGCTACTTAGAAAACATCGTGGGTGTATGGTAAAATATCAATGTAGTGTTCAGCAGTATTTTCCTCCTAAAAGTAAATTGTATGTTAAGGATTATAAGGAAATCATGAGGAAGTTGTGCTATTGTGTGCACCCCAAATTGGTCCATATTTATGTGAAATTCTAGTGTACTCTCAAATTTAGGGAGAACTGGAAAAGATATGGATGAGCGGCAGGATTAACAAAGGAATGCAGTGGCTGCTGGGGGCAGAGCATCTGAGTAGGAGGGACTGTGTTCTGGCAGAAGGAGTAAGGTGAATGGGATGTGGAGTGCTGTAATATCAGCAGTTGAATGGAGAAGGGGAGCACGAAGCAGTTACTCAGGGTTTGAAGCAGTTACTCAGGGTTTCTTCTAGTGCAGGATCTCCATATAAGGTGGAATTTTCCAGAGGTAGGAGTGGCACAAGCAGGAGGGGCTGCTGCTGCTGTCCCCCCTCATATCACCATGCCATTGGTAATGCTTCCTGCCCAGTCATGGAAATGTGAGTATAAAACATCAGTACAAGAAGGAAATGCCCTTAGGGTGTTATTAAATGTGAGCTAATGCCTCTGGGTTAGGAGGCTGCTGAATCCCAGATTGCTGGGAGCTGCAGGAATGTGTCAAAGAAATGCCAGTGTGTATGCCCTGTTCCAGCACTTTTCCCTATGCACCTGGATGGAGCTGCTCTGTTCTAGCTGTTGTAATAGGCCAGGGTTGGGATTTTAGAGCCATGGGAATTGGCTGCAGCTCATTTTTGAAGAACAATGAAGCACAGGTCAAGCACTGACTGATTTATTAAGTATTCTCAGTGGGCAGAAGTGATGCACTTGATGACAACCTTTGCTGTGAAAATCCCAAGTGCTTTTTGAATTCTGCATTTTACAGACTCATTTGAAATAAGTCCCCTTTTTCTTTTAGAGTTTTCTGGATTTCTGTGATAACATGTAGTAAAATGCACTAGACTGGCTCCTTATCCATCTTTTCCTTGTGGATCCTGGGAGGTCTTGTGTGGGCACTGAAGGGGTGTTGAACCAAGATGTGCCATCTGGGTCTGGAAGATTGTTACTTACAGATAGCTCATCTATCCTTCATGCCTCTGGCTTAAAGCCCTGAGGGTCATGTTCATTTGGCTCTCCTGAGAGCAGAAGTTCACAAAGGAATGCAGAAAGCAGGGAAAGATTCTTCTCATGAAGCACCACACCCTCCACATGGGGCAGCTATGTCTGGGGCGTTGTTACAAAAGGCATTAATATAAAAAACTGGTATGATGAAGCAAATAAAAATCTGTTTAGAGGTGGAAGAATGAACCTGGGTGCTGTTCTGCCCTGTTACAAAATAGTGGCTTGGAATGGTTGTGAAATAGAACTGCTGGAATTAGTACAAAGAGTAAACTTGTTTCACTGCCTGAAGGTGGAGAAGCAATGAGCCTTCGGCCTTATTTAGGACAAGGAGAGCAGGATCACAGCTGTAGGAAGAACTGGGGATGGCACCAGCAATGAAAGGAGCATCCTTTCCCCTTCCCTGCAAGTGATGCCCCAGTCAATCCTCAGCTGCACCGAGGCAAAGCTTGTGGCCTGGCTTTCCTGCTGGATTGTGACTGAAGGAAGCCCAGAGGAAGGGGAGAGTGCTCTGTGGAGAGCATCTGTGCCACTGCATTCCACAGCAAGGGGCTGTGCAGGTTTGGGCTGTGGCTCAAGGATGTGACCGGAGTTTTCCAGTCCTATGGCACTGACAAGTCTCTCTGGGTCACTGTGGATGTTGGAAGTTCCCTGCTTTCAGTAGCACTTTCCCACCACTGCGGAGCAAGAGGTTTGAAGTTTTTCTTTGTTACCTCTGCACACAGCAAGAATAATAACACCAAAGCAGCCACGTGAAAAACCACTTGAGAAGAGACCTGCTGCCGTGTGCACTGCCAGCACCGGCCACAGCTGGAGCCCCACTCGTGGTTAGAGATGTTAGGGAGCAGGTAGTGCCCAGCGTGCAGGGGGGCTCACAAAGGGCTGCCAGCCATAGGAGCAGCCTCCAAAGGGAAATGGCCCTCGCCTGCCTTCCCCAGTCCTCGCCTCACCACAGAGCAGAATCGTGCCCAGCCCCTCCCACGCAGGGCTCCCCTGCTCACCGCCCTGCGAGGTTCTTTGAGAGCGGCTTCGCGTTTCTGCCGTGACTTTTCTTTGCGGATTTTTTTTCTTCTTTTTTTTTTAAACATGGGGCAGAGCAAACTTTGGCGTGTGTTCAAGAGAATAATAAAGATAAGAATGAGCAGCGCCTTTGAACAGCAAGGAGACAAGATTCAAAAGCTATTGACTGTAGTTCAGCAGTGTGCTGATACAGATCAGGCTGTTATTTACAATTGGGTCTGTGTTTTCTTTTCAGTAATGAGGAATAAAAAGGGCTGCTCCACTTGTGGGGCTTCTTGTGGTTTCTTTTTTAAGGCACCAAGACCCTGGAATGCTGACAGAGAATCTAGTAATAATAAAGGCCAAAATACATGATGTTTTAGGCCAGACTTCTGGGCTATTGGCTGTGTCTTGGGGTTTGTTTAGATGTTTCAGGAGGCATTGGCTTTGAGGCAGGCATATTTTTTAATAAAAACAGAAGTTGTACTTTCTGATTGTCATGATTATAAACCATCTTGATTCTTTGTCAACATTCTGTTGGTGTTGAACCTGGAGATGCAGCCTGAGCTGCACATGTACAGGAATAAAATGATACCAAAGCATTTCACTCATAATGTTTTGAGATGATAAAGTTGAAGCCAGTGGAAATATTCAGGAACCATGCAGGGCAATCACAGTGCCCTCGGAGCTGAGCTGTGGCTGTGAGCCACAGGCTGTAAATACTGTGGGTGGTCAGTGGCTCTGCTGTAGCAGAGGGGATGAGCAGCTCTGGCATTGGGATTCAGCAACTTGTGAGCCCAGGAGGGAGCTGAACTAAGTCTAATTCCAACCCTCAGCTGGAGAGTGATCATAGGGAGCCATATGGGCACACCAATCTGTGAGTGTGCAAGAGGGAGGCAGGTACAAGCCTGTGTCTGGCAAAGGATGGAGCAGGAGGTGAGCAAGGAAATGGGCATGTGTGCGTGATGACCTTGGCCATGCTGAGCCCTCCTGCTTCTGCCATCGTTGTGCAGTGGGTTCTGGGCCACACATTCTCCTCTGTCCCTGACAGTGTTTCTCTGCTGGATTGCAGAACACCGTAGGCTATTCTGTGCCTGGGAATCTGAGCTGCTGCATTTTCCAGTTCCTTTAGGTAAAACACTGAGGGCTGAGAGTGTTCCACTCAGTGGATTTTTGTCTGCCTGTGTCCCTGAGATGCTTGGCACAGGGACAGGTTGGCCCTCCCCATTCCACAGCCAGTATGTCCAGGGTGGAGCAGCAAGGCTAATAGGGACAGCAGTGTTACCTCCAGAGTCAAAGGCATACCCCAAGTATCTTGGGGATTCCTTTTTCCCTTCTGGCAACCAAACAAGAGCTCTCTTCTCCAAAAGAGATGATTTGTTGTTCTAGTGCCACAAGACACATCTCTGTCAGGGCAAAGTAACACAACAGGTCCTGCAGTCAGTCGGCTCTGCCCCCTTGACTCTTTGTTTATATTTGCATGAGAATTTGCTTCTCTCTGGACGATGGATCTCTGTACAGCTGAGGATTTTAGGGAAATCAGGAGGGTGGGACATGAAACTCCAGCTGATTCCATATTCCAACCACTCTGCTAGTAGGTTGTTTTCTGCTTGTCTGGGTTTTTTTAAGGGGATTTGCTAAGAGCGTTTCCCTTGTGATTTGCATGGCTAATCTGCGTGTCCTGCTTTTCATGCAGCAATTCCTCTTTTTCCTTTATGGCTATCTGCAAGGTGACAGTGAGAAATCCCAGAGTGAAGCTGTGGCACAAGGTGCTAAAGGAGTGCAGGTTGTGAAAGAGCCACAATGGGGCATCAGGTTCAGAGCTCCTGCACACAGTCTCTGGTCCTCTCTCCACGCCTTCAATGGGTGTTGGATGCATCACTGCCTGGATAAGGGCAAAACTGCTCGGCTTGCTGGGGACATGGCCTGGAGAGAGCCAGGTGACAGTGTCTGCTAGAGAGCAGCATGCGGAGAAGGAAGGGATGGGAGGAGCCCCGGATAACAAATACAGGAAATGAGTTCAGCATAACCACAAGTTCACCATTGTTTGGGCCTCCTCTCCCTGGAGCTCAACAAATGCTGGTGCATTTGCAAGATGAAGTCAAGTTTGGAGTTAAAATCCCAACACTTTGCTGCTGGCACTGGAAAGTTGAGCTCCAACAAGGAGTTGCCATGAGCATGGGAAAGAGATGTGGGTGCTTGATGGTGCTCAGTTCTGCTAAGGAAAATGGTTCACGAGGCAAGAAGGAGCCATTTTAGAAAATCCCTTGTAGAAAATGGGCAAATCATATTCCTTCCCTCCCCCCAAATGCTCTGGGATTAAACAGGTTTCAGAGCTACCTCCTTGGAGAGGTGCTTTTCCAAAATAAGAGACAGCAGTCAGATGATCCAGAGTTACAATCCAACCTGTCCTGTTTTTCTTAAAGATGCCTGTTTGCTACAGATGTGACAAAATTCCAAATGCTTCAGAAATTAGGAAAACTGAAGTAAAAAAATTCTGCAGTTCCTTATAAAAAGTGTATTCAGCTGTGTGTGTGACATGGTGCTGAAACCTGAAGGTGCTCTCAGATTCCAGCTCCAGCTTAACTTCCAAGCCTGACCTGCTCTAACCATCCCAGACTGTGGATTTGCCCTGTTTCTAAAGGAGAGCAGGTGCTCTGACAGCTCCCTGTTTGCTTGCACAGGGATTTGTCGTGCACTTCAGATAATGGATTGCTGTGCTTTATTCTAGGAATGGAAATTTTTATCTTCCCATTATAAATAGCACCATTAGTAAAACTCTAGGATACCTTGGATACCTTGGCTTAGTGACACCATGCATAGGAATGCAGAAAATGCTGAATAATTTAAAGGATGCTATAAATACTTTCAAATGGTGCTGCAATCCAAGTACCACTAATCGGATGAGCCTTACACTTAACAAAACATGTCTCTGGTGAGCCATTGCTGTAGGGTACTGGAATTGCTATGGAAAAAAACACTACTACCAACTGACAGCAGCAGAAAATGGGGCTTGGAAGGGAAGAAGCCAACTCTGAAGTGACAGGGGTCCCAAAAAATATCTCGTGGAGGGAGATTACACATAAGGGTGTCACACTAATACACTTTCTAGTGTGTGTGTTTTGATAAAATCAACTGGTTACACATCTCTGGTACAAGCAGGCCAAACCCTCCCTTGTTTTCAAGTCCAGCCTGAAGTTTCAGACGAAATTTCTTTAAGAGCAGTGTCCAGCTTTAACTTTTTCAGGCTTGTGCAGGGGTGTTAGTTATGGTGCTTTGTCCCAAGGAGGATCCAGTAATGCAGACTCCAGAATAAAGATAAAAAATAAGGAAAGCCAAGGAACGGAAGATTGCACTAAGCAATTTTGCAACCCTTGAGATGCTTTCTGTGAATTTGGATCAATGTGTGTATTGGGGTCTGGTTTTTTTGGGTATGGTTTTCCCTCATTCTCCAATTACATCCATGTGTTTTGTTTCTTTTGCAGTCCCTGAAGCTCCGAGAGGTTTTTAACTTGGATCACCCTTACAGCACCTTCCTGCTGAAGAACCTGACAATTGTATCTGGCTCTGACATGGTTGACCTCACTTTCCATAACTTTGTGTCCTACAAGGAGAGTATTTGCAAGGTATCAGGCCCTGAGGTCTTGGAAGTACTGGGAACCACTAAGGATTGGGGCATTGAGTGGGGAGCAGGAAAGCAGAGGAGGAGACATGACAATGTAAGATAAAGACATAATGCTGAGCTCTTTCAGCATTACTGACAAGGTTACAAACAAGCAGGTTTATGTTCCAGTCAGGTGTGGTATCTCCATAGTTCTAGAAGCTTCTGCCCTGCACGGAGAAGAACCAGTAGAAGACTGGTCATTGTTGTCTTTCGTGTGTTTTGTATGGATGAATAGGCAGCTGAGAAGTAGAAAAGTTTCAGCTCCTAGTGTTTATAGGCAGGAGGAAAGTGATAGAGTCAAGCCTGGAAGTCTCAAACAGAATAAGGGGTAACAGCTGTAAACTTGAAGAAGGTAGATTTTTATTTGATGTGAGAAGAATTTCCTCCCTGTAAGGGTGGGGGGCCCTGGCACACGTTGCCCAGAGAAGCTGTGGCTGTCCCATTCCTGGAAGTGTTCAAGGTTGGACAGGGCTTGGAGCAACCTGGGATGATGGAAGGTGTCCCTGCCCATGGCAGGATGTGGTACTGGATGGGCTTTAAGTTCCCTTCCAACCCAAACAATTCCAAGATTCTGTGCCCTTTCCATGTTTGCTGTGTACTTCTTGGAGCAGTTCAATGGTGCCCAACTGCCTCTGCTGTTTGTTCCAGGACTGGGCTGAGGATATAATGGCCATTGCCCGGAACCCCCTCACGTACAACGCTCCCCGCTACACCTTCCTAGAGAAAATGTAAGTCCTTTCTGAGAAGCCTTTTTCTCTGAAACATCCATGTCCTGCTCTTTCTGTCAGTACTTGGAAAAAAAAAAAGACTTCAAAGCATCCAGGTCCCTTGGCAGGCTCCAGACCAAGGTCATGCCAAGGTTAAGCTCATGGTCTGTAGGACCCCGATTTTCAATCCACTGTTGGATTGTTTTCCCAATTGCATGTTTTTTCTTTCTTCTCACTTAGTAGGATCTCTTAAGATGGTATAAATGCATTTTTCTAATCTTGTTTGGGGTTTTTTTTCACAGTCTGGTGAAGCTGAAGTTGCAACTGAATGAAGAGGGAAAGATTCCTGTCCGGAAGTGAGTGTGGATATTTGTTTCATTGTGCGCTCAGTCAGAGTACAGGCAGAGCAACTGGTGAGAGAGAGGATGGCTGCTCAGTGGCTTCAGCTGTCTGCTCTTCCTGCAACTGAGAGGAGGAGAAATTTCCCTCTGTGTCCAGGCCATGGAAGTGCTCCTGCTGCACCTGGGTGACACATAATTTGAGTCTGGAAAGGAGAGTTTGTGGCCTTCATCTACAGCAAGATATGGCTTAAATAGCCACAGATACAATTTCCTGGTTGTTACCATGAAAAAACCAACAAACCAAAGTAACTTTGGTAAAATTCTGATCATAGATTATTTCGCAAACCTGAGCTGAAAGGTGGATGAGGTGTAGGATTGTTTCCCTTTCCTGTAAGGAGCTCTTCATATGGACAGCTCTTTGCTGGACTCCCTACCTCACCTGCAGCAGGGCTCCCTTGCTTTTCCTGTCTCCTTTCTCTCTGTGTGACCTCTCCAGTCCTTCCCCACTTCCTCCATCCCTCAGCCTTTGCTCTGGATGTGCATGAGAGTGAAGCAGCCTCTTGGTCAGTGGTAGTGCTGGTTTAGGAGCAGAACAGATGGAGATTTGTCCTTCCCTGTCCCCAGCCTGGTACTGTGCATCAGGTAGGGCTCCCATTAGAATGGGAAGCAAAGCCCAGCCTGTCCCTTCTCACCTGCACTATGTGGCGTGAATCTGGAATTGATTTTGTGCCATTCAGTGTCTTCCAAGAAAAACTGCTCCAGGGCTGGTCCTGTGGTACCTCTGTGTTGATTTAGCTCTAGAATGACAAAAGGCAGCACTGCCATGTTGAATTCCCTTTTGGGTCCATAAATTACCTTTTGTTTTAAGAATAAAGAGCTGCAGACATAGTGTTTGGGAAGTTTTGAACCACTCTGCTCTAGGTCTGTGCTGTGTTACATCATCACAAGAGGTAAGTACTAATTGCCCCAAATAAACACAGGCCCCAGGGTGTGTTGTAAGGCAGAGCTGTGCTGGATTAGGGCTGTGCTGACTGAATGGGCTCCTGGAGGGCTGAGCTCTATTCAACACTAAACATTTTTTGTTATTTGTTTTCTAAACCACCAACCAGCAGAATTTCATTGTCAGAAACCAGAATATTCATCAAAGGACTGTTAAAAATGTGTAGGTCTGTAATGAATAACACACTAGGGAAGAGTGCTTTGAATTAATCTTTAAAATGCAAGCAAGGTAGCGTTGCTGCAGGGAGAAACCAGCTTATTCTTCTGGAACAAGCTACAGAAAATATCTGACACAAGGATGTACCTCTTGTCAGTGTCCGTTTCTTGCAGAATGATAAAAATGCAGACCATTAAATAGTCCAGATTAAGAGCAAGGTTTATAAAAATACTCAGTATCTCCAGGTGCAGGTAAATGTAAGGCTTTCAAAACTCCTGAAAATTCTAAAAATTCCACAAGCATTTGCCTTTCTTTTAAATATGTAAATCCCTCTGGAATTATACCAAGGCTGCTGCAGTTTTGCCTTGCAAAGGGCAGGGTTTGCATGAGCTGCTGCAGCCCCCACCAGGCACTCCCACCTGGCAGCACAGGGCACTCCTTGTTCCCCTGTTTGCTGTGAGCACCTGTGACTCCAGGAGCTTAACAGAACTGAGGCTGGATTTATCCATGGAGGAGACCATGGTGCTGTTGACAGGGATGTTCTAAAAGGAGGGAAAGTTTAGTTATTACTTCTCCACAATATACCATAGGAAGCACCTCCAAGAGGGGCAGAAAAGGGATTTTGAATGACAGGGCTCTTACAGAGTCCATAGCAGAAATACAGAACTTCTGCTTTAAATCAGCAGTCAAAAATCCTGTCTAGGTTTATCAAAGTCAGTCCCTCAGTTACTGCCCTGAGAAACACTGCCTGTCTTTGCTGGTTCATGCTTACAGTTGTCCTGCCTGTCTCCCTTGCTGTGCATTTGGAGTGTCCTGCACTGCCTGCAGCTCCAGCCCCCTGACCTCTGCCCTGCCCTGTGATGATGTTTGTTTGCCTGTCTGGTCAGTATTTTTCAGATGTTCCCTGCAGACAAGAAGAGGGTGGAAGAAGCATTAAGTGCTTGTCATCTGCCAAATGGCAAGGTAAGGGTTTCTCTGGGTATCCAGAAGTCTCATGAGCTTGAGAAGAATCTTTTTCCTGACTGGGATGCCCTTGGCTGTGAAAAAGCATCAGCCAAGATGCTTGTAATTGCTTACCTTACCCTACCACTGCCAGGCCTAATTCTGGCCTGCTGGCATCAGCTCTTACTGTCCTCCAGTAACACTTGTGACTCCAGCACTTGCACTGTGTGGCACAAGGAGCAGCAACACCCAGCCAGATGTTCCAGTCACTTACTGGGGTTTTCACAGCTAAGTGCTGAGGTGTGGGTGTTCATGACAGGTTAGAGCTGTCGTGGGTTTGTGGTCCTGACACATCTTCATTGCATTCTCAGAATGACGCCATCAACCCCGAGGACTTCCCCGAGCCGGTGTACAAGACGTTCCTCATGAATCTGTGTCCACGGCCCGAGATTGATGAGATATTTACTTCACAGTAAGTTTCCCTCAAGCCACAGCCCAGAACTTGGTCTCTTGTGGCAAAAGATAGACAGGAAGGAGGGAATTTAGTGTGGTAGGGTTTGTCTAGCCTTAAGCCTTCAAAGGGCAGGATCCCAGGTCACTTAATGCCTTCACTCACAGCCTGAATAAAAAGGATGAGACCTCACTGTGCTACAGGACCCTGAAATATATGGGCCCAGAGGGAGGATCAACCTCTCCTATGTGAAAAGATTTCTGGGGTAATTCCCAATTACCTCTGCCCCTCTGTGATTCTCTCACTGCAGCCATCTAAAAGCAAAGCCCTACATGACCAAAGATCACTTGGCAAAGTTCATCAACAAGAAGCAGCGTGACACTCGCCTCAATGACATCCTCTTCCCGCCAGCCAAACCTGATCAGGTGCAGAGCCTGATAGAGAAGTATGAACCCAGTGGGTTTAACATCCAGAGAGGTGAGTCTTGTTCAGCCCAAAGCTCTTGCTATAGAAGTGGGATGACAGAGCAGAGGATCTCGTGCCCTCTGCCATCCTGCTTCCCAGGGGAGCAGTCAGCCTGGTTCCCACAACTCCCTGTTGTTCCCACAACTCTTTTTCCACTTCCAAAGTGGGGCCAGAACTGTTCTATTTGGTGACCATGAACAGCTCTGTTTGCCATGCAGGGCAGCTGTCTCCAGAGGGGATGGTCTGGTTCCTCTGTGGACCTGAGAACAACCTGATAGTGCTGGACAAGCTGATGCTGTACCAGGACATGACCCAGCCACTCTCGCACTACTACATCAATTCCTCACACAACACCTATCTGACAGGTATGGCAGGGGAGGGACACAGTCAGCAGGGCAGATGTGTGTGCCCTGGGGGTGTTGGGGGCTGGCCTGACTCTAAATGCTGTGTGACATGAGGCAGTGTCGCCCTGCCACTGAAAACATCTTGTCAGTCTGCTGCCTCCACCTGCTGAAGGCTGGCAAAGACTCCTGCTGCCCTGTGTATGCAGGAGCTGATGTGTGTGAGGAGCTAACGCTGAGCCTCTCTCCTGCAGCCGGGCAGTTTTCTGGGACGTCCTCTCCCGAAATGTACCGGCAGACGCTGCTGGCCGGCTGCCGCTGCGTGGAGCTGGACTGCTGGAAGGGCCGGCCCCCGGAGGAGGAGCCCATCATCACCCACGGCTTCACCATGACAACTGAGATCCTCTTCAAGGTAGTGAAGAGCTTTCTCCAGGGATGCTTTCCCCTGCCTGCTTTTAGACTGATTGCTGAGGGAGCCAGATGGCTGAGGATGTTTGAGAGGAAAAGATTGATGGCGAGGTGACAAGTGAATGAATGTGTGGGTAGAAGGAAAAGTGAACAGATAAGCACTAGGTTGGAGTTTGTACAGTTTTGGAATGGGTGAGTAGAAGAGAGGGTGATAGCTGGATGAAGATGGATGGATGGATGGATGGATGGATGGATGGATGGATGGATGGATGGATGGATGGATGGATGGATGGATGAGGGAAATGTGGGAAGTCAGCTGGAAGCCAAGGAGAGATGGCTGAGCAGAGGTGTGTGTGTACACAGGGCTGTGTCACAGGATGGATGCACAGAACGTGGCACGAGGCTGGTGGATTTATAGATAGAGGCACACCAGAGGAGTGAACAGGATGGCTTTTAGAAAACAGTTAAAATGAGTTAAATCTTCTGGTCTGCAGCAGGTTCCTATGGCTGACTGCCTCAAGTGGAGGCTTTTGGAAGAACAGGGTTCAATTCCTTCCTAATGACCTGAGTGCTGGAATGTGTTTTGTGAAGCAGCTGGCTTCCCTGAGGATTCAGCTCCCAGCCTTCAGAAGTGCAGCACAAAGCCAGGCAGTATAGGGCATTTATCCACAGCTTGCAAGTTACAAATAAAGGCATCACATTGAGTTTTTTTCTGCACTCCTTTACACAGCTGCTGCCAACAGGTAGAGGTGCTTTAGATGGTTTTTTCCAGCTCTTTATTTTTTCTGTATCTTCCCCCCAATTCCCATACTTCACTATTACTAAAATATTTATGTGTGAAGGGGAAACAAAACAACAAACCAAAGCTGTCCTTAAGGTCAGAGGTATTGTCCTCAGACTCAGTTATTTCCAAAGCTCTGTGGTGTCACTGCTGCTTTTTGCACAGCAGTTCACTGCAGATGGAACAGAAATAATGGCATGTGTAGCTGCTGTAATTGCAGAGTTCTGCTGAAGCCTGGGACCATTCCTCAAGGAAATTATAACCTGCTAATACAGCATGTGCTGGGTTTTGGTTTTACATAACACATAGTCCTTCCTTCCACCACAACTCCTGTGGCCTTTTAGTAGCATTGTCTGAGGCTTCTCCTGAGAGCCTTGAGGCTTCTGTGACAGAATCCCAGTGGTCCATGGAGGAGCAGCTGTGGCAGCCTCCCTCCTTGCTGAGGTCATGGCTGATCCAGGATTTGGGATGCTCAGGGGACTCTAATTGCAAAGGAGCAAATGGCACTTCTTTACCAATTAACAGGACCAGAAAGGAAAACAGTGGAAAGTTTGTGGCAGTTTAACAGGGGCTTGGGGAAAATATTATTTTTTCTTACATCATTAATGCTGAAAAGGTTTCCATGGTATTTGCATTTGAAATGTCAGCACAGCTGGTAACTGAACACTCCAGCTCTCTTTGCTGCCAGGCAAAAGGATTTTATAAGCAGCAGAAATGATAGAAAATTGGGCAGGTTCAGAGGTAAGCATGGCTAGAATTTGCAGTGGTTTAATCTGGTGCTGCATACACCTTTCTGTGCCAGTTCAAGGTGCTTGGGGCAGGGTTTGTCCCTCTGGCCACATGCTCTCACTTGCAGTGATGTGTACACTGACCTGTGCAGCAAAACCAAAATCTCACCCTGTTGCATCTTCAGCTTCATTTTGGTGCAAGCTGTTGAATTTAGCTCAGTGTGGATCCTCTGGAGCTGGAAATCTGGGCAGGTGTGAAAAAGATGACACTTGTCACCTTCTTACTGGGAGGAGTTTAGTGACTGAGAGGAGCTCCTGAGAGACAGTTATGGAGTCTGTTCAGTGGGAGGTCAGCTGTGTCTCTGTTATTAATGGCTGCTGAGCTGCCCTCTGACCATGGCCTCTCCTTCAGGATGCCATCGAGGCCATTGCAGAAAGTGCTTTTAAAACATCTCCATACCCTGTGATCCTGTCCTTCGAGAACCACGTGGACTCGTGAGTATTTGGGAGAACTGGCTGCTGTGTACAGAGCAGAAAATACACAGGCGAGGGCTGCTGGGTTTTAAGTGGGTGCTGAGCTGAAGTGGAGCATTAATTGAGGTTTCTGAAGCAACTGAAGGTGGGTCAGAGCTGAAAGATGAGCCTTAACCTGCAGAGTGGGGTGATCACAGTTGTGCAGCCTTTTACCTTAGGGTTGCAGAGTATGAACATAGGAGTTGGCTTGGGAATGGGACCTTAACATCTACATAGCTGAGATGGTTTTCTGGGTAGAGGACATGGACATCTTTTGTTCATGCTAAACTCTGATTTTGGGCATTTGCTTTCCTCTTCACTCCTGCCTGATCTCTCGTAGGCCCAAGCAGCAGGCAAAGATGGCCGAGTACTGCCGAACAATTTTTGGAGACATGCTGCTGACAGAGCCACTGGAGAAATACCCGGTATGAGGGAGCTGGGGCAGGAGGCCACTGGGGAGGCCTTTCTGGAAAACTTGGTCCCTCCTGGTGCTGGGAGGTGCCACAACAACACATACAATGCCATGGACGTGGATCCTGGTTCATAGAGATAGGTGGAAAACTCTTGTTTAGCACTCTGTCACCTGAGGGGCTCTGGGCACTGAGCCATGGGTGGTCAAGGATGTACCAAGGGTACCAGGCATGTTCTGTACATGACACTGGTCCAGCTCTGTGTCTGACAGCACTTGGAAACAGGAGCAAAGGCCTAATCCTGCTTCTAGCCTGGGAATATTCCCTTCCAGGCATAGCTGGGTGGGTCAGTGTCATGTGCTTGGAATAGCTGAGGAAAGGTCCCCCTCTGCTTGACCTCAGTCTTCATCTTACCTGTACAACAGGTCTTTCTGTGGCCCCAGTGACACCTTTGGTGACACAACTGCCCTACCAGGACACATGGTTTTAAACATCTGAGCAGGATCTGTGTTCTGCAGGGCACGAGGCAGATCCTTGGGGTGCACAGAGGAGGAACAGCAGAGGCACCTGGCCCAAGCATCTGTTTGAAAGCTCTGAGACCCAAAGAAGAGCTGGGAAGAAGCAGTGAGCCAGCAGCAGCTGCCCACTGTCCAGCCCCATGTCCAGGCAATAGGAACAGGGGATGATGGGGGGAACACTTCAAGAGATTAACTAAGCTATTTACAGGCCTTTGCTGTCTCTGCAGTCTGTCACATGTCCTTGTCTTGAGCCACCTCCTCTGGGATCTTTTTTAAATCTGCTGCAGGCAGTGTTTAAATCTGGCCTGAGTACTGATGAGGGACTGAGGATCTGGGATATAATGAGAGAAGTAGGTGGAATGGGAAGTCAGAGGTATGCAGATGCCTTCAGGGCATCTAGGTGGTTTTTTTTTTTTTAGCAGGATGGTTGGCTAGGCAGCATAGCTTAGGAAAAATCTGCATTAATCTAGTGGGATATGCTGGCAGATGGAGGAAATCAGGAGTATAGTGGGTGAGAGATGTGCCTGTGCATTGGCAATTGGCCAGGGAGACAGGAGAGGTGAGTGTTTGAATTCTGTGATGAAGTTTATCTGTTGCAGCTGAAGCCAGGAGTTCCTCTGCCAAGTCCTAAGGATCTCTTAAGGAAAATCTTGATTAAAAACAAAAAGAACCAATCAATGTCTGGGAAGAGGCAGAACTCTTTGAAGAAAGGGAGGAACGTGGAACCAGAAACCACTGAACAGCCAGCCTCTGTGGATGCTGAAGATACTGGTATGTCTGAAGGGATGGGGGACTAATAAAACTGATGGGCAAAGCCTTCTAAATCACTCAACACTTGGTGAGCTTGGGATGAGCCAGCACTAGTCATTAAAACAGTTATTCCAAGCAGCAGCAGAAAATTGGAAGAGAAATTAAATCTTCAGAATACTTTGAACACTCAGTCCAACCAAAAGAGATCATCATTTACCAGCTCAACATCCCTTAGTTGATACACTCTGGTTTTTGGATTGAGGGAAGGGGAATAACTGGTTACTGCTTGTAACCACAAATTCACCACAGCCTAGTTCTTCACCATGAGGGTCTTGGAGGTTCATAAAACCTTCAGTCCCTCTCTCCTCCCTTCCTGTCACTACCTGGGCTCAGGGCCCCTGTGGTAGAACAGTCCCTGTCATGGTAAGAGCACATGATGTCATGTGAGGACAAGGTGAGCACCACTGAAGAACACCTGAAAATGGGCATTTATTCCTGCAAATATATGTGACCTTGGAGGCGAAGCAGCCCAGTGATTGTTGCTCCTGAGTGTGAGGCGAGCCTGAAACAGGAATGGTTTGGTCTTTTGTGTGTGCTCATCCTCAGTGTACCAGTTCGTGTTTGGATTTGGCCAAATAAATTGTAGGCTTCTTCCCCTCAGTGTTCCAGCATTACTTGGTGGTGAGGTTTGGCAGAGCCCTGCACTGCCGGCAGCCTGCAGGGTCCTGTCTGTGCCTCCTGATCCATACCACTGATGAGGGCCTGTGTGCTTAGTCTGGGCAGGTGATGTTGCTGAAGAGGAGCCAGAGGAAGAGGATGAACAGCTCAGAAATCTGGATGAAGAAGAAATTAAAAAGATGCAGTCAGATGAGGTACTGTCACTGTTGGTTCTTTTCCTTTTCTCTTTGGATTTTTGCTGGTTTCCTTTTTTCTCTGGGGCCTCACCCTCTTGAATAGAGATGAACCCAAAGTGCAAAGGGGAATGACCCAGTGGGGGACTTTCCATCCCCACACAAAAAGACATTTGCGGGGAAAAATTGAAAGAGAGAAATTTTGTTGCAAGCATGAAGAATGTGGCAGAGGAGTTACTGCTGACTGTGCATGATTTGGAGATAACTGTTTGCCTTGGGGGTGTTGGAGAGGCTTAGCCTTGGTCTGAGGAGTTGTTACTGAAAAGTGCTGCTGCTGAAGCGGGAGGGAGGAGATCAGCATTCTCTTGAATAAAATGTCTGTTTCCCATTTCCATCTCCCTGGTATCCTTTGGAGAGGAATAAAACCAATATCCCCGTTTATCCCAGATTCTATTCTGAGGGGTCACAGAGATCCTGGGCTTTGTACTTCCTCCCTGGAACCTCTCCATGTGCCTTGATTCCATTTTTGCCCAGCCACCTGGAGATCCTGTGCCCCTGCCCACCACAGAGCTGTAGGACTGGGAAGCCAGAGAAACTGGAGCACTCTGGTCAGGGAGCCACCAGAGCTCTTTGAGTGGGAGGCCCCGGTGCAGTTTGTTTGCGTCTCCAGGGAAGGTCTCTTCATCTCTTTCCTTTTGGACTGTTCTGTGCTCAGGGCACGGCTGGCCTGGAAGTGACAGCGTACGAGGAGATGTCCAGCCTGGTTAATTACATACAGCCCATCAAATTCAACTCCTTCGAGGTCTCTGCCAGTAAGTCAGGCTCAGTCCCTCTGGAATCCAGGCCAAGTGCTTCCTGCCTCCGTCAGTCCCCTGTGCCGAGCGGGACTGGGCGTGCCTTGCTCCTAAATGCAATCTCCTGTTTCTAGAGAAGAACCGGAGTTACGTCATCTCCTCCTTCACCGAGACCAAGGCTTGCGATCTACTGAGCAAGTTCCCCATGCAGTTTGTGGAGTATCCTTTGGGCAGCCCTTTTCCAGTGCCTTTGGGTGCTTGGAGTGTGAGGGAGATTCTTGACAGGATGCATCCTGCTGTAGCCAATGTCAAGGCTGCCAGATGCTTGTCCTTAAATGAAAAGTGTATGGACAGGGAGCCTGAGCCTCCCTGGGGTCTTGTCTGGAAGGCTCTGAGCATTTGGTAGCAGAGCTCCAACAGTTTTTATAATGGGAATATGTGGGCTGGCCCCAGGGCACAACAGGAAGGGTCATGACATGTTTCCTATAGAGCCTGTAGATACAACAAGTGGCAGATGAGCCGCATTTACCCCAAAGGCACCCGGATGGACTCCTCCAATTACCAACCCCAGATGTTCTGGAATGTCGGCTGTCAGATGGTGGCACTCAACTTCCAGACCATGGGTGAGTGTCAGGGTGTGCTCCAGCCCCCGAGCAGCTGAGGTCAGGCACTGCTGGTCCCCAGGTGCTCCTGGTCTCTGTCTCTTCCTTTTCTGCCATTTCCCTGATCATTATTCCCACGTGCCTTTTCCCAAAGTGCTGTTCTCTGATTTGATCTCCCACAGACCAAGAGCATTTTTCCATGCCCAGCACAGACCTGGAATACACACACACTCATATAGACTGCTGTCACCCTGTGTCCAGGCACTATCCCTGGTTGTCCTGTTCCACGATGTCACACTGAATCATATCCATGAGGGCACCTGCAGCTCCCATCCCCCAAGTTGCTACCTCCACAAGGCAGAGGCAGAGCTCCATCTGGCCACAGCACTGACCTGTCTGTGCCATTATTTCTAGGATTTTGAATTGACCAGGGAGGAAAGGCCTTTCCTTGCTGCACAACCAGCATACAAAGGAAAGAAAAGCCTTGAGAGAAAGCTGTACCTTACCCCTCTTCCTTCCTCAGAGGGCTGTGTTATGTATGGAGCATAGGAGACAAAAGGGAGCAAGTGCAAGGTTGGCTCTGAAGAGGATGACACTGCAGGCAGGTGCAGCAACCACCAGGCAGTGTCCTCAGTAGTGTCAGACAGAAGATGGACTCAGAGGAGGCCCAAAATGAAAGGGGGAAGGAGCAGAGTAGCTTAGACAGTTACTTATTCCCACCCAAAAATAGCAGGTGCTCCTTAAAGCAGGTTTCAATTTAGTTCTGCCCATGACTTAAGGTGCAAGCGCAAGCAAACCACTTCCCTTCCTTACAACAGCTGCTGTAATACTTTTCCCTGTAGGGTGCTGAGAGGCTTAATTAGTTTTCAAGATGGCTTTGTGAGCCGTGGGCTGGCAGGGGCTGGAAGCTTCCGGCAGCTTCCAGCTCCCTCGTAGCACACAGGCCGCCTGTCCCCCCCAGCCCTGTGTCACTGTGTTGCTCTGCTCTCAGATGTCCCCATGCAGCAGAACATGGCCCTGTTTGAGTTCAACGGGCAGTGTGGGTACCTGCTCAAGCACGAGTTCATGCGGCGCCCCGACAAGCAGCTCGACCCCTTCTCCGTGGACCGCATCGACGGGCTGGTGGCCACTACTGTCTGTGTCACGGCAAGTACAGCCTGGGGACCCGTCCTGTGTCACCCAGGGGGACTCTTAGTGCCACATGAACCCGTGGAGTCCTGTGGGAAAGCGTTACTGTGGCAACTCCCAGGCTTGTCGCTATTTTAAATTAATCATAATCACATGAAAATGGAAAATGAGCATCTGCCGTGCACAGGGAGCCAAGGCTGTGCTGGTAAGGAGAGAGGAAGTGCTGAAGCAAGAAACAGAGGTGAAGGTAAAAGAAGAGCTGGAGCAGAAAAGCTGTTTTGGGGTGGGAGAGTGCCTCTAGGGTGAAGGAATGGGTGGGTCCCTCTGTTTTATTTTTCCCAGTAGTTGCTAACTCTGTTTGTGTTGTTTACAGGTACTCTCTGGTCAGTTCCTCTCAGACCGCAGCGTGAAGACCTACGTGGAAGTGGAGCTCCTTGGGCTGCCAAGGGATGCCAAACGCAAACACAGAACCAAACTGACCTCCACAGCCAACTCCATTAACCCTGTGTGGAAAGAGGAGGCTTTTGTTTTTGAAAAGGTGAGAACATTTGATAGTAATTTAGGCAGAGAATTCTTAAAGCTCCTGATGGCCATGAGCACTGCCTTGGCAGAGGTCAGTGCCAGCAGAAGGGACTCTCCTCTGGAGACCTCAGGCCAGGCTTTGGACACTTTCAGGTAACATCCAAACCACAATACCCAAAACAACTCTGCATCAATATTTCCCTGAACAGACAAGGGGTAGCTGGGAATGGTTCTGGAGATAACAGGCATCCAAAGTCTCCCCTCTATGATGCCCTCTTCAGACTGATCAGTTTGGAAAACTTCCAGCACCAGAAAGGAACTGAATTTCTGTGGTTAAACTGTCAATGAGAAACAGCCAAACTGGAGCAGTAATGGGACCAGTTTTCAGTTGTGCCAGAACATGGAAAGCTGCCCTGTCTATCCCCAGGAATTCAGTGATCACCAATGCAGCTGCAGGGCACAGGGAAGATAAGTCAAGTATACATTATACAATTCCTCTGTCAGGCGCAGTGTGAAGCTACAGATATTTTCAGCCTACTTGGCTAAAATATCCTCCTTTCAGAAACACTCGGAGGCTTCACTCCTGGCAGAATAATTTTGAGTTCACTTTATGGCACAAGAATACAGGGAAGGAAGGAGTCAAAAGCCTTTATTAGTAATGTTACCATGTTTGCTAAATTATCCATCCCAGTTAATTCCAGTGAGTTCTTCCTGGAAGCAGTGGTTTGGGGGGGTTGTTGCGTTGTTTTTGTCTTTAGGTAACCTGTGATCCTGGGCAGGCTGTGTTTGGTGGAGTTTCTGGGCAGTCAGCTATGATGTCTATGATAAACTGTGCCTTTAAATGACAAACATTACAATTTCCAGAATGGCAGTGCCATTCTGGAAGAGCTGGAATGTTTGGTTGGAAGGAGGAGGATGCTGCTATCAGGAGACAGAGGTGAGGACACTGGTGCCTTACTCTGCTTTTCCCTTAGATCATGATGCCTGAGTTGGCATCTCTCAAAATGGTGGCTTGGGAGGAAGGAGGGAAGTTCATTGGCCAGCGTATCATTCCCATCATCGCAATGCACCCAGGTAAATCAGTGGAAATTCCTTCTGTTTTGTGCCCTTCAGACCTGTCCAGTGGGAGCCATAAAGACCATACAAACAGCTGCATACTTTGCTCCTTAATCTCCATGCCCACAGGCAGTGGAACCTTGAAATCCATCTTGTTATAGCCTTGGCTTTATCCCATGATATACAGGCTCCTCCTGTAAAGAGGAGCCTTGGGCTGCTGGAGCAGACAGGGAGGGACAGGATGCCACCAGCTCAACTCCCTCCCCTCTGTGCCCCAGGCTACCACCACGTGTGCCTGCGCAGCGAGAGCAACATGCCGCTCACCATGCCCGCCCTCTTCGTGTTCCTGGAGATCAAGGACTACGTGCCAGATGCTTGGGCAGGTGGGGAGCTGGAATGTGTGTGGGGGGGTGCTTCTGGCCTCCTCCAAACTCTGATTCAGAAGTATTTTTCCAGCCTGGGAAGTGCTTTCCTGCTGCACCCTCAATTCCTTGTCAGGGTGGGACTTGAGTGCAGGCCAGCATCCTGTCACAGCCTCGCTGCCTTGGGAAGAGCATGGAGGCTCCCACTGCAGCTGTGCCTGGTTCCCACCTGAGGTGCAGTGCAGATGTACCAGGCTCCAGTGTGGAATGGCTCAGCCCTACCCTTGTTCAGAGGCAGGGAGAGGTTTCCTTGAGGGAACAGGTGACACCTCTCAGGGGCTGCAGGGAACAGGGGCTTTAAGGAGATTTTAGGAGAAGGGAGGTTCTTGCTGGTACTGAGCTTTGGGGACATTCCTTTGAGAAGGATCAGAGCTGGATGTGACAGAAGCTTCACCAGAGGGGTCAACTGTCATGACCAAACCAGAGTGCAAGAGCATCAGCCACAGGAGCTCTTGTGAATACTTCTCATGTTTGCTCTCTCCTCCCCTGTGTTCATGCAAATGAACCTTATTCACTGGGGAAATCCTGAAAAATGTGATTTATCACATTTTTATTAAAAAGATGAGGTTTATACAATGTTGGGCTGGAACTGGAGCAAGCAGCTGTGTAGGTGGGAAAAATCTTAATCTGGCCCTGGCTTCTGGGAGCAGAGTTCCCAAAATCACTTCACAGAGCTGTCCTGAACATCAATTGTGAGCCATGCTGGGACTGAGATGAAGGAGGTTCCCTTCCTCCCTCCCTTGTGCTGTCAGGGAGACTTTGGTTACAAGCAGAGAACACAAACTATTCCTTCTTCACAGTGTTCTGCACTGGGCAGGGAAATGAGTCCATGAGTTGTTTGTTATCCAAGCCAAACCCTGCTCTCTGTTTCCAGATCTCACTATTGCCCTCTCCAACCCTATCAAGTTCTTCAACCTGCAGGACAAGCGCTTGGTGAAGCACAAGGATACCTCAGGGGAGGTGAGTTTTTCCAGGTTCTGTTCTCTAGAGCACCTTGCATGGATTCAGCTTGAAATAATGGAGTTTCATTTACCTCTGATCTTTGTTTTAGAGGCCTGGCACACAGACAAACCCCTCACCTGCTGAGACTAATGGGGTGGCAGGGTCCACTGGGAAGCCCAGCATTCCTCCCTCTAACGGGTCCACAGGTGAGTTTCCAAGAGTTTCCAAGCTTTTAAGCCTCTTAGCAGCTTAATTAATTCTTCTGTACTGACACCAACATCCTTCACATGGGCTGTGTTGTGGTGAGCTCTCCTCTGTCCATTTCCAACCTGGACATCCAAGATGGGACATTAACAGGAACTTCTTTTGGGATTTCAGGAGCAGCAGTGTTCACCAAGGATGAAGCCATGTTAGAAGTAATGCAGATGGCAGGTAACTCCTCATGCTGGTCACCTGGGCTGAGGCCCTGCCTGTCATCTTACATTTCCAAATTAAAAAGACATGTCCCAACCCTGCCTGGTGTAGCCAGCACTAAAGACAAATCCCAGGAGTCTTGGGGCTCCAGGACAGGTTTCCTTCAGCACACCTGCACTCCCCGTGCAATGTGTTGTTCCTCTGCTTCCGGGTGCCTGAATGCAGTGTGATGCCAATTCCTGCAAACACGAGGCCTAATTGTGCCTCAAAACTGAACTGAAGGCACGGGAGAAAACCTGTTTCACTCAGGATGTGTTGGCAAATTACTGTTATGTACATTGCTTTTTTAGAAGTTATTCCTAAAGAAGTGTTTGCCAGGACAGAATATCTACCTGGGGAGAGGCATCCCAAGGTGTGGAGCAGAGGGGGCTCTGGTTTGGATGTGGTGATTGAGGGACATGTGTTGGAGCTCTATCCTCCAGTTTCCCCACTCCAAGCCTTGGGAAGGAGCTGGCACTGTTCAGCCTTTTTATTTTGTGTTTCAGAGCCTGAGACAATCACCCTTGCTGAGCTGCAGCAGAAGAAACGCTTCCTGAAGCTGCTGAAGAGGCAGGAGAAGGAGCTGAGGGAGCTGGAGTGGAAGGGAAGCAAACAGAGGGAGGAGCTGCTGCAGAAATACTCCGGGCTCTTTTCGGAGCTGGCCTGCCCTGGGGGCAAGAAAAGGACAATACGAACAAGGAAAACACAGAAGAAGAGGTAACCACAGCCTGGGGTCACCTTCCCAAACCAAACCAAGGATCCCCAGGGAAACATGGCCTTCCCTTCTCTGCCGGAAGATGGAGCAGTGCAGGCATGTGCATGTCCCTGTGTTGTTCTCCCTGTGGGCGGGTGGGGAGGTTGGGATGGTATTGGCATGGTGAGAAGCAGCATGGCCCCTGTTTCTGTTCTGCAGGAGTGTGACCCCCAGCGATGCTGGTACCAGTGCACATCCTGTAAAAGCAGCAGACAGCATCGATTGCCACTGGCTCGTGGAGCTGAGGGAGAGGCTGGAGACGGACCTCATCCACCTTGGGGAGGAGCACCACAACCGGATCCGAAGGAAGAAAGAGCAGCACGCTACCGAGGTGAGAGCTGCCAGTGTCACCTGAAAATGTATCCTGGGACAGCCCCAAAAATCCCAAGTTATTCACTAAACTGAGCTTGGGAATGTGGGCCCAGAACATACCTGACACATGCACACGCCAGGTAACTGAGAATGAAGACATGAAGCTTATTTCTCAGAAGCCCTAAAAATCCTGCAGAAACATTTTTGTATGTGTGCTGTTTTTTCTAACGAGAGTAGCATTGCCCTGGAGCACATCACGCTCCATCTGCTCCAGCTCTTCTGACGCCTTAGCACGGAGTTAATGTTGTGTTTAGTGGCTTCACACCTTGCCAGCTGCCACCTCTCTGGGAGCTGGGGTGATGTGGGGGTGGGCTGAGGGGTCACCAGTGGCACCATCAGAGCGTGTTCTGCTGTTTGACTTGGTGGAAGTCAGAGTCCAGGTGAGGAGAGTCCTGCAGGCTGAGCTCAGCAAAGGCCAGAAGGAGCCACGGTGGTGCCTGAGGACAGAGTGCAGGCCATGGGATGGTGGTGATTGTAAATCCAGCATATGCTATCTGTTCCAATGAAAAGGGAGTGATTCCAGGCTTGGGAGACCTTTTCCCATTAGAGTTTTCTGAAGGAATTTGCATTGATACATCTTAAATCTTCAGTTCCCTGGTGCGCCTTAGGCATGACATGCCTCTTGCAAGCTGTGTGCAACCCTGAGGGGAGGATAACACTTGGGCACGGGCTCACCTGGGAATCAGGTTTCTTACCTGGGAGAGGAGCCAGGATGAAACCTTCCTGTGTCACAAGTGCAGTCCACTGGCACAGTGGGGCCTGTGTGTACAGCTGAGCTCACTCCTGTGCCAGTGTTTGCACTGAGCCTTGGGGATTCAGAATTTGTTGCTCCTGGAATTCAATGCAGGGAGGTGTACAGCCGATTTGGGTGCAACTGGATGCAGATGGGGTGCAGTGTCTCATCCTGGTTTGTTCCCTTTTGGTCTTGTGTTCATCCCTGAAACAGCAAGTTACCAGGATCCTGGAGCTGGCCAGGGAGAAGCAGGCAGCTGAGCTGCGGGTGCTGAGGGACACGTCGGAAAGGTAAATACAGCAGTGGAATCACAAATAACACCAGGTTTTGCTTTGGGCAGCACTTTCTGCTGGATCTCACAGCTCTGCTCTGCAGCCAGGGAGGGAGGATGGGGAAGAAAAGGTTTTCTTTTCCTTTGCAGGGGGATGTGACAGGGGATCTCACACAGTGGTGTTGGGGGAAGATGCCGCTTGTGATCCCCAGAACAGTGTTGCTGCCAGCAGGCACCAAGCAGGATACAGTGTTCCATCTGCAGTGAGCAGCCTGGAGCCACTGAGGGGGAAGGATAGGAAATACACTGCTGGTCCCTGGCTGTCACCTCTGTCTCTTGCAGTCAGGACCTCACGTTCATCCCTTCCAGGGACTGATCTGCTCTATCTTCTAAGTGAATTGAGCATCTTGGCTCCAGTATTTAAAGAAATTGGCAAAATCAATTGACCAGTTTCTAGCCAGACATGTATCCATTTGTTCTTGCAAGAACTTTGTCCTGAAACTGAAATCCTCACTCATTCCTGCTTCCCATTAAATGCTGTCTTAGTCTTTAGTTGCAAATTCATATAAAAAATTCTTTTTGTGTCCTGTCTCAAGCCAGAATCTCTTTACTCAGCTATTCAGTATATTCAGGCAAGTCTAAGGAAACAGGTGAGTAGCCAGGTAATGGTTTTCTGACAGTAGGATGCCATTAGTACAGTCACATCTCCCTGGCTGGGAGAAGCTCCAGAAGGATTTCAAGATCTGCAGCAACAGGCAATGAAATGGCAGTTCAGTTCAGCAGGAATAGATATAAAAAAACGTGAATGGAAAACCCTGGCCATAGCCCATCAGTGCACTGGTTTTGGCACTAGGTAAGAGATCTTCAGCTGCTGTGGATGTTCCTCATTCCCAGCTCTGCAGTGGCCAAGGTGGCAAACATGATTTTGGGAATTGTACAGGGAAACAAAAAGATTGAGTCAGCCTTGTGCCACTGGATCCGTCTGCATTGAGCTGTTCCCTTCTCAGTGTGCCATCTCAAACAAATAAAGTCTTTGAAAGAACAAGAAGAACAGCCAGCACTGGGGAGGAATTTGTGCACAAAAAGGAATTAAATGGGACAGCTAGGAGAACAGATGCATGAGGGAATGTGACAGGAATGTGTAAATCATGAATGGTCTGGAAGAGGGAAGTGATTGCTCACTGTTGCTCATTGGAAAGAAGGGTGGGACATCCAGTGAATGTCTCAGGTGCCTCTGTCACATTGTGTATAAATTAAGTACTGTTCTCTCACAGCAAAGAGCTGTGAAATCCAAAAGTGAAGGTGAACTCTATAAAGTATGAGTGACATCATGGAACATGATACATGCATAGATAATGGAGAATATGCAGTTATTTCCCTTCTGGAAATTGGGAAGGTGGACGAGGGAACATTTCCTGTATACTTGTTCTTTCTCAGACTTGCCTTTAGCACGTGCTGCCTCTACTGCTGGGCCAGGACACGTCCTGACTCAGGACCTAAAATATCCTTGACACCCCAGGCCTCCTGTGGCACAGGCTCCCACATCTGGTGTTTCTGGACAGTGGAGCACTCCAGAGAGCTGTGGATGGAGGACTGCTCTGCTGTCTGGGGCTGCTAACCAGGCCTGTATCTCCTCTCTTCTCTCCACAGCAACATTAAAGACATTAAGAAGCGGATGGAGGCAAAGAGAGTGGAGCGGGTGCAGGCCATGCTGAGGAATACCAGTGACAAGGCTGCTCAGGAGAGGTGCGGGAGTGGATGTTCCTGGGCTCTGGCCGTGCACAATGCAGGGTCTCCTGCTGACTTAGAAGATGAGAAAGTAGAATTTTGCATCCGGTTATTTGCCTTATGGCTCAGCCAACTCTGAGTGGTGTTTTGGTGTTTTATTTGTCCTTCCTAAAAGTACAGCAGCTTCTCCCTATGCTAGGGCAGGGTGGGAATGTAACACACCTGTTGATCAGTATATATAGTACTGATCAGTACTGACAGCTGGGTTTTATGGAAGGAGAACAGCTGGATTTAACAGGGTTTTATAATTCTCTTTAAAGGTTGAAGAAAGAAATTAACAATTCCCACATTCAGGAAGTGGTGCAGACAGTGAAACGGGTGAGTTCAGGGGGCTCAGGCTGCCCCAGCAGCTCTGGGTTCTGCAGGGGGTGGCCAGGGGAACTCAGTCAGTGTGTCTGGGGCTTTTGGAACCCGTGTCTGGGGAACAAGGGGAAAGCCCAGCGGGAGGAAAGACACCTCAAGGACCCCAGCTCTGTCCTTGAAAGACCCAGTGTCAGCCCATGTCTGTCTGTCAGTGAGCATCCCTCAGTGAGTGTCAGCATTTGAGTCCATTTGTCCATCTGTGTCTGTGTGGCCCTGTGTCCAGCTGCATCTGTGTGTCTGTCTGTGTCTATGTGTGTGGGTCTCTGTCCATACCTCTGTGTGTGTGTCATGTCTGTGTGTCTGAGTCAGGGTGTGTGTCCCTGTGTCTCTCTGTCTGGGTATCTGAGTGTGTATGTCCATGGGTCCAGGTGTCTCCATGCCCATCTGTGTCCATGTGCCTGTGGCCGTGTGCATGTATCCATCTGTGCTTGTCCATGCATGTCTATGTGTGTGTCCCTGTAGGTCTGCCAGTGTGTCCATAGGTGTGTTTGTGTTTCCATGTGCCCATGTCAGAGAGTGTCAGAGATACTTTGTCCATGCATCTGAGTGTGCATGTGTGGGTGTGTCTGCCTTAGAGTGAGTCTCTCTCCACTTGCGTTCGTGTGTGTATCCATGTATGTCTGTGTTTTTCCATTTAAGTGTGTGCATGTGTCTCTCTATCCAGGAGTCTGTCCTCCTGTGTGTATCCATGGGTGTGTATCTCCATGTATCTTTGTCCATCTGTGTCCCTGTGATCAGGTGTCTGTCTTCACGTGCCAAGTGTATCTGTCCATGTGTCCAAGTGTGGGTGTGTCTGGGTGTCTGTCTTTATGCCAGCCTTTGTCCCTCTGCGTCCCTGCGTGTCTGTGTGTCCACATGTTACTCTATTCCTGTGTGCATGTCCATGTAGGTGTCTGTGTGTCCATGCAGGTGTCTGCATGAGCCCATGTCTTTGTGAACCTTTGTATCTGTGTCCATGTTTGTCTGTCCTTGTGTCCAGGAGTGTCCTCGTGGTGCCTGTGCCCCTGAATGTGTGCATGTGGCTGTGCCGGGGGGGTGTATGTCTGCTTGTCACTACGTCCATCTGTGTCTGCAATGTTTGTGTTTGCATGTGTGAGTCTGTGTGTCTCTGTGTATGTCCGAGTGTCCATCTGTGCGTATCTGTCCATGGGTGGGTGTGTTGTCTACGTCCAGGTGGCTGTGTCCATCTCTATCCATATCCTTGTGTGAGTGTGTGTCTGTCCATGTCCAGGTGTTTTTGTGTGTCTATGTCCACATTCTGGTGGGAGTCTGTGTGTCCATGTCTTTGTCCAGCTGTGTGTGTTTGTATTTCTGTGTGCCTGTGCCTGAGTGTATGTTCATGTCTCTCTTTGTGTCTGTGTCAATGTGTGTCTGTGTGTCCATGCACCTATGTGTGTCCTTGTGGTGATCTATGTGCATCTGTTTGTCTGTCCACATCTGTGACCATGTGTCTCTGCCTGTGTCCAGGTGTGTGTATGTCTGTGTGTCAATGTGGCTGTATCCAGGTGTTTGTATGTCTGCATGTCTCTGCGCTTCTGCCTAGGAACGTGTGGGTGCATGTGTTTGTGTCCATACATGTGTGTCCATGTCCACGTGTGTGTCCATCTGTATGTCTATGTCCATGTCCTTGTGCGTGTCCATGTGTCTCCCTGTGTCCATGTTTGTGTCTATGTGTGTCCGCCTGTATCTGCCTGTGTCCATGTGATGATGTTTGTGTCTGTGTCCATGTGTGTCTGTGTGCACCAGTGTTTCTGCATCCATGTCTTTGTGTGTCTGTGTCCATGCCTGTGTCCATGTGTGTCCTTGACCATGTGTCTGTGTTCATGTGTCCACTTGTATCTGTATGTCTGCCTGTGTCAGTGTATGTGAATCTGTCCTTACCCATATGTGTCTATGTCCTGTGTCTGTGTGCGTGTCCCTGTGTTTCTGTCCATGCCCATAATCTGTGTGTCTGCCTATGTCTGTACATGCGTCTGTGTCCATCCACATTTGTGTCCATGTTTCTGTGTCTGTCCATGTGCCAGTCTGTCTGTGTCCATATGCATGTCTGTTTATCTGTGTGCTTGTGTGTCTGCATCCATATCTCTCTGCCTGTGTCAGATTCCATGTGTCTGTCTGTGCGTGTGCATCTGTGCTCCTGTTTTTCTGTGTCCATTTGTGTGTCTCTTTGTCTGTGTCTTTGTCTCTGTGTCTGTATGTTCACATCCAGGGGGTGGGTGTGTCGAGGTGTGTGTCTGTGCCTCTGTGTCCCTGTCCACGTGTGTGTCCAAGTATCCATGTTCATGTCTATGCCTATGTCTGTGTGTCAATGTGCCTGCCAGTGTCTGTGTGTGCATCCGTGTCTCTGCCCACGTCTGTCTGCGTGTGTCTATCCAAATGTCTGCCTGTGTCCTGTGTGTCCCTGTGTGTCTGCCTTTGTCCATGTATAAGCACACCTATGTGTCTGTGTCTGCATCCGTATCTGTCCATGTATCTCTGTGTCCATGTGTCCGTGCCTGTATCTGCCTGCATCCACGTGTCTGCCTGTGTCTGTATGACTGCATTTGTGTGTGTCCCTGTGTCTGCATCCATGTCTGTGTGTATCTCCATTTTTGTGTCCATGTCCTGTGTCTATGTGCCATGTGTGTCTGTGTGGGTGTGTCCATGGATGTTTGTGTCCAGCTGTCTGTATCCATCTCCATCAGTGTCCTTGTGATTGTGTGTCCATCTGTGTCCATGTCCATCTGTGTGTCTGTCCATGTGTACCTGTGCCTGATTGTCTTTGTGTGAGTACACGTATCCCTGTGCCTGTATGTGTCCAGGTGTCTGTCCTTATGCAAGTCGGTGTATCCATGTATCTCTCTGTGTGTGTCCCTGTGTGTCCGTGTCCCTGTCCCTAAGTCCGTGTGTACTCAATCTGCCAGGCTATTGTGGTGTCCCTGAATCCAGGCTGCTGCTCCTGGCCCACCCTGCTGGGCTGAGCTTGGGCTGTCCAAAGCCCTTGCTTATAAAACTGGAACCTGAGGGGGATTAATTTATTCTTTATAAAGGTGACAGAGAGGACTGGCAGGTTCCAGCAGAAACTGGAGGAGAAGCAGGCAGCAAATCTTCAGTCCATCAAGGAGAGAGAAAGCCAGGTAAGAACAACATTTAGGGTCAGGGCTGTTCCTTGGCACAAGAAGTCCAAACCCCCAGAGACTCAAGTCTTTATGGCCACCCTCAGCCCACCCATTGCCAGGGGGTGAGAAAGTGGATAAGAGGGCCCACAAAGACCCCAGAAGGACCAACAGCTTATCCCAGAGCTCCTGGTCTTTCTGCTTGGCTCCAGTGTGTGGGAATGACCCGATTCTCCATTTGCAGCTCCAGCAGCAGGTACGGGTGGAATATGAGGAGAAGTTGAGAGCTCTGAACATGGAGGTTCAGGAGATGGTGAGGAACTACACCAAAGCCAGCTTTCCTGGAGAACCACAGACTGGGAAGGAAGCAGGTCAGACCATTTCTGAGGGAGAACAAGGCTCTACAGACCAACTGGAAGGAAATATCCCAGTGGCAGAGGTGTCCAGGCTTACACTGGCAGTGACTCAGCCCTTGGGAGCTGGAATGGATGTGGAGATAGAAGAGAGCATATTCTGAGATGAGGCCCTTCCTTACTGTTCATTGCAAGAAGGTGTATGGTGAAGTAACAACCAGCTTCACAAACTACTGCCATCCCTTTCCATTCTGGGGAGCTCCTGAAATCCTTCTGGAATGTACTACATTACCCCAGATATCTGGAAGCAGTCTGGAGAGTTCACCCTTCAGAGTACTTCACTCTCTGTCTTCCCAGTCTGAGCTCTGAGGTATTTTAGCAGTGGGAAAGGGCCTGTGCCTGCAGACCAACTCCCTGTTGGCATCACAGCAGCAGCTACAGGAATATTTACTTTGCATTCAGATCAGTTTTTAGAGTCAGTTCCCTCATCATTCCTCACATGCATCTCTTCACATCAGTCCAACTCCTCCTAACATCTTCCACACGGTTCAAAGAAACAGCAATAAACAAAGCTAAACACTGATACAAAGACACCACGGGTGGGGATAGGGGTGGGAAGTGTGCTCAACCACAGCAAACCACACCATGCTGTGTGTCCTACAGGAAAACAGTTACACCTGAAGCTGCATTAATAAACAATTACAAATGCTGCTATAAAAACCAAACCCCAGGTCAAGCAGGTAACAAACAGCATGTTCCAAGTCTAGTCTGAACACCCAACAAGAGTCCACATCTCCCCTGTGGTGTCACCAGAGTACTGGAATTACAGACTGTACATTTCTGAGCTATTTATTGTCTAAAAAAAAATAAAACCTAGCAGTTCTTAAACAACCGTGTCACTTATTACTTAGCTGCATTAGTGTGTGTGTCTGTGATGCTGTGTGTCCATCTCGATGTCTGTGTAGCTGTATCCATGTCCCTGTGTTCATGTGTGTGTCTACATGTCTAGGTATGTACGTGTACATCTGCATGTGTCCATGCTTTTGTGTCTGGGTGTCTGTCCATTTGTGTCTGTATGTCCACGTGTGTGTGTGTGTGTGATCCATGTCTCAGTGTGGGCTCTGTGTGTGTCCACATGTCTGTCTGTGTCCATGTGTATTTCTCTGAGCCTGAATGTGTGTTCATGTCTGTCTTTGTATCTTTGTGTCCATGTCCATCTGTCCATGTCTGCGAGCATGTGCATGTGTCTGTATGTCTGTGTCTCTGTACCCAGGTGTGTGTGTGTCAATCCTTGCATATGTCCGCTGTGTCTGTCCACGTCCCTGTGTGGTTTTCTGTCCACCTGTCTCTGTCCCTGTGGTGTTTGAGGCCCTTCCTCATCAGAGGACAAACATCCCAGCAAGGTTCAACTGCAGCCAGGGAGCAGTTGGAGATTTAACCTTAAATCCAGAGAGGCAGCACTGGCAGTTCCAAACCAGAGCACAGGGGCACTGAACCCTGCATCCCACACCAGTGTGTCACCAGCCCTGGCCACTCAAACCCCTCCAGAGGAGCTTTTTAGAGGTTATTTTCAGTGAAAATTTGTCCCATCTCTTCCTGGAGGGAACCCAGATGCCAATGTCAGACCAGAACATGGGCAGAGGATGGCCCCTTTTCCACATACTGCCAAAATTCCAGGGCTGGATTTTTCTCTCAAACCCTCTCTAGAAATGAATCCCACAGAATAAACCTGAGTCAGAGAGACATGCATGGAAACCAAGGACATAATAGCAGGGACAGGGTTTGCAGGAGTTTTTCCTTCCTCCAGGGCCACACCCTAAAGATTATGTTGCACAGGGACAGTGGCAGGCAGGCAGGACATGCTCTGTCCCTCCACGCAGCACACGACAGGACAAACACTCCAAGTCAGGCTGGCCAGGTTCAATCTCACAGGCTGCCCCTACCAACAGCACCAGCACAAGCTGTGACACTGGACAATACTACTACAGCCTCCTTCCCTCCAGCCTGGCACAATTCCCAAACAGCTTCACTTTCCTGCCTTGTGTCAACTGCTCCCCCAGGAGCATCTGAGAGCCAGCAGAACCCATTGCTCTGCTCTCCTCAAGCTCAACTCCTCTGTTCAGCTCTGAACAGCACAAATGCAGAGCCCAAAGCATGGCCTGACACAGCACCCGAGCAAAATGCTCTGCAGGAGGCTCCTTGGGCATGGGCATTTCAAAATTGAGCAGAGCTCAGCTGGACTATGACACAGGGCTTAGAAAATGGAACTTCAGCACATGGAATTCGTGGCATTAACGTCCACTGATATTTGAAACCTGAGCAAGGAAACCCATCACAGTTTCTGCACTGCAACCCTTCTGTTATGGAACCCAACACTGGCACAGGTGCTTAATGCCAAATTTCATGAAAAACAGCTGCAATCTTTTACACAGATTTCACCTCAGTGCTAAAAAACACCTTCAAAATGTACTTTTCAGAGTGCACACTGAAGCATCACTAAAAGCAAAGCCAGGGCTCCCATGAAGCACAGACCACACTCTGCATCACCCCCTTTCTGCCCAGAGTGCCTCTGAGCCCGTGCACCGCAGTGCCTCCAACACCTCCCCATCTGCACAAAATGGGGAAAAGTTCTGCAAGATGGAAACGGACGAACAAATCAATAATAAATAATAATAAATAAAGGCGCTAAACCAAATGTTACTGCAATGGTTCCCGAGCACACCTTGAACCCCTCCAGCAGCACAATTCAGTCACACCATGGTTTGGTTACTCACAGACTCCAGAGGAGGGAGGCCATCTGATTTTCCAGCACTGTTTCTTCCCACGGGATTCAGACATCCTTGAGGATTCCTTCCTGTGCAGCCCTGCCTGTGTTTTCACTTACCTGCCAAGCACAGGGCCATGTGGCATTTTGCTCAGACAGGCCTCTCATCAGGCTTGTTATTACACACAGAACCCCAATTCAATGGCAATTGAGACAATAACATCTAGTCAGACACTGAACAGCAGCAGATTCAGGTACAATCTCTGATCCTTTCCACATTTTCATCTTTTAAGTGGCACATTCTAGATCTCATCCTGCAGCTCAAAATATTTAAGTGAGGTCAATCTTTGTACTAGATAATTAAAAATTAGATAATGGGGATGTCCAAAGCAGAGGAGGACTCCAAACCCAGCAAGGGACACAAACAGGAGAGACTGTACCTAAATGACCCCAGTCCTTTTTACCTCCATTAACAAAGGTACTGCTAATGTGCCTAAGGTACTCAGAGAAGGAGCTGCTGCACAGTATCTATTCCATTTTAGAGATACTCTCACTACCCTGCATGTACCCCACATGTCAAGATTCCCCAAGATTATATAGATTATTACTTGTTATCCCCATATATACCCTGGTCCCAGGGCACAGCCAGCAGCTCTCCCCAGTCTGCAGGGGAAGGGTGGTGCTTGTCTCAAACCAAACGGAACAATGTCAAATTCAGAAATCTCATTTGAACCAGGGTACTTCTGTTGCCACTGGTTAAAAACCAGGGCCTCTAAACAAAGATTTGTTCTGTTCCAAAAGAAATGGGATAATAAGCTGCTGCATCCAACATCAGAGGCCTTTTGGAGGAAGACAGGCACCATTACAGATAAACCAGTGCAATTGGGATGTGACAGCACTGACAGACTCCCTGTTTGATTCAGCAAATTGTTCATATAAATACCATGTGCCATCTTCAAAGGCCTTTGGATGCTGATTGCCAGGGCTATGCCAGCAAGGAAAAAGGCTCTATACCAGCAAAGCTGACAGGAAGGAAAATAAAAGGGAAGGATTCAGGGGAAACATGACATAGAACAGCAGCAAACCCTGAGACACAAGTGCACCCTTGTAGAAAAGGAAAGATACTCAGAGAAAACAGCATCTCTGAGCATAATTACCCACTGAGTAGGCTCTGAGCTCGTCAGAGAAGAGGCTACACCTTGTTGTACAATCAGATGTCACCAAGAATACATGAAATCCCGACCTGAACACTACTGCAATACAAATTCCAAACCTGCTCTGCATCCTCATTCTCCTGCCTGGTTCCTGGGGAAGGAGCTGTCGGCCCTGGAGACGGAGCTTCAATCTTTCAGCTAATCTAGATTTATCTTAGGATTTATGTTTGATTCCACACTCATCTAAGTAATGGAGCAGCTAATTGGTGCTGGGCCGTGCATGAACTGTAAAAGAGAGAAACATGAAAAGCAGGAATTGAATTCTACACTGCACAGAAGATGGATCCTTTCTGCATTCCTCACAAATATGGTAATGAGATTTTAAAATTTTATAAGATACTTGAATGGAATTTTTTCAGGGCCTTCCCTCACTGTATTTAGTCAGATTTGGGCTAAAGTATAAAATGGTGTTAAATGTTAAACCTGTCATCCTTGTCTCCAAGAAATATTTGTTTCAGGACTCAGGATCCAGGCTCCTGCCGTCTCCTCCTGTTTTAGTAGCCATATAGCCACAGAACAGGGAAGTTGGAGCAGACTCCAATGTTCACACTCGCATCTCTGAACTACAGACACATTTTTAAGCACCTCAACACTGTAACAGGCTTATGAATAAATCAAGAGCTACTTTAATTTAAAACACAAGTGCAAAGGATTCACAACTAAAGACGAGCAGGACTGTTTTGTTTCAAATTATAAATCTTTTCCAAGCCCTGCTATTTTTGCATTAAAAAAAAGCAATATATCTGGAATACAGAAACATTTTACATCAAAAATTTTCCAGTGCAGCTAAGAAGGAGCTTAATGAATTAATTTCAACCAACTCCATCAGCCTAATCTTAGACATCCAGTCTACAGAAACCCCATATGACCTCTCTACCTGCCACGGGTGAGAGAGAGAGTGATTTTGTCCTTCAGCAGGTGTCTGAACCAAGGGGATGAACCACCTCTGGAGTTGTTCCCCCAGGGGTGCTCCTCCCCCCATGGGCTACAGAGCCAACCTACACGTTCTGCAGACTGGGTGCCTGCCCTTTGATGGCTGGCAGCAGTGCAGATGAATTCCATCCCAAATTACTTCAAGTAATCAACCACAGCTTCAATTTTGAAGCAGGATCTGTAGCTGGAGCAAATAGCAGAGGACAGAGGTTATGAACATCTTCTGAAGAAAACCCAGTTCTGAGGTCAGTTTCTGAGACAGCAGGACTGTCCTGAGAATAACTAAAAGTCCAAAATCTTGGTATCTGGAGTTTCAAAACAAGATCCCAGCTCCACATCTACAAATATATTCTTGAGACCTCACAACAACACACACCATCACTGTACAATGTTAATCCCGACCTAGAGTCCAATTATGTTGAGGATCTCACTGATCAGAGAGTGCAGCATACAAAATACCTAAAACTACGTCAAAATAACTGAAAGAACTGTTCAAACAACCAGAAACCTTCCAGATGTAAAGGGCTGATGGGGAAGGGCAGACCAATAGCCAGACAGCAGCACACAAACACAAAAATCAATCCTGGGATATGCAGGATAGCTCAAATATTTCCATTTGGTCTCCTACAGCATCCCCAAAATGCTACCCAATAAATGCTCCAGGGCAGCACTTCTCAGCCTCTCCAGGGAGAAAGGCCTGGAAAAGCAAGCCATAGGAACATGCTGTTCGCATTCCAACCAGCACACAAGGTGTTGCAAATGGTGAATTTTTAACCATAAGATCCTGGTGGTAAGAGCACCTGGTCTTCATCCAAGGGTTTCCCCCTCCAAAAGTTTAAAATCATGAAATGGATTCAAGATTGACCACTAAACCATACACATTCTGCAGCAAAAGAGAAGCATGTTGATGCAAGAGAGCCACTTAGAAACAAGTATATACATATCACATCTGCTCCCTAAGGAAGTGTGTGCAGGTTTCTAGGTCCATATTTAACCAAGGGAAATTAAAATAATCTGTGGAAAGGTCTCAGAGGAAAAAAAAAAAGTCTTTGTGCATTGAGAGTTTAAAGGGGTCTGTGCCCCAAAGTGAGTCAGCTCATGGCTCCAGTGCACAATGAAGAAAACAAAGATCACATTTCTAAGTGGGAAATATGGTTCCAGCTCAGTAGTCAGCAGCCTGGGTGTGCAGAAACCCACAACATTCAGAAACATAACTTCACACTCCACTTTCGAATGCCATCCTTCGGCAGCAGTGATCCACAAGCCATGGAATACCCGCTTTATCCTTGAGACAGGCTTGGTCTCACTCAGGTCTAGTCTGTATTGATTGTCTTCAGCAAAGGAGAAGCCACAGAAGGCTGAGGATGTATGGACAGGATTCACATTTGTCCTCCAAAACAATCACTGGCAAGTTCCAAGCACCATTCACAGGTCGAGACTGCCTGGGCTCTTACTTTTTTTCTATATATTTTTTTATAAACATTCCTTTTCCCTAGAGTTTCCCCTCCTATAAAGTCAGCAGGTGGAGGTGCGCTTCCTGTACTGTTGGATAAGGGGCACCAAGCACTCTGGAAGTCCTGTCTGGAGCAAAAAGGGGTGATCCAGGAGTTCTTGTGCCGTTGCTCTTTCCAGTGGATCCCGTGTCAACATCCTCTCCAAGAAGTCTCTCAGAACTGGGGAGGTCTGTGAAAAAGCAACCAACCAAGTCAACCCCGCAAAGGGACCAGGCACAGCTCATGCAACACCAGGCTGCCAAGGTGGGTGTGGTTACAAAGATCTTGCACATTCCCAATCTGTATCCCTGTTTTTCCAGCAATGTGACACAGGTCAAATGCGTTTTATGCTATGGACATAACTTTCTGTTACTGCTAGGCACTACCCTTAGGTTGCTTTCTTTTGAATGGGATACAGTCAATTAAGCTAAGAGTGCCTGCCACATCCTTCCATTTGGGTTACTTCTGCTTCCCACTTTGTTACTTAAACTTTCCTGGATTTCAGCTGAAAAACTCTGCAGGAATCCTGCTACCTGGGCACATCACTTGGGTGGGAAGGGAGCATCAATCCATTCTTTTACTGGTCACAGATTATGGAAAGCTAGTTAGAGTTCTCCCCTAGGCTCTGAGAGCCTGAAAGACCCTCATGCTAATGGTACAAGAAGATGAAGCTGCAGCACCAGTACCAACAAGCTGAATGACCTCACAGGTTTGTCCTTTGGAAGATGTGTAAAAGCCTGGTAGTAGCCAGCCCCAAGCACTACTTCATGACCCTGCACATCTCTGGGCTCATTTAATCCTCTGCATCATTAAAATGGAATTTTAAAAAATGATATTGACATAGATTTATTTATTTTAATGCTGATAATTACATCCAGTTGAGACTGCGGGCATTTCCCCAGCTCTGGTTCCCTTAGTAGATCCTGAAATACTGTTCACACTGAGATATTGCTCATCTCAGGAGAACTCTGGATGACTTTGCTTGGAATTGCTGGAGAAGGCACCGCACAGCTCAGGACAAGTGCCAGGATCCAGCCTGTATCCCTGTGTATAAATCTGCCCATGCTTTAGCAATCCAGCAGGGATTATCCTAGGTGGCATCCCTTTAACCTGCTGCCCCCAGAATTGCAGTCACTGACCACAGTGAGCCATGAATTGGCACCAAAACACCTGAATGGAGGGCTGGATCCACAGCTGGAGCTGCACTCCAGCAGGACACTGGAGAGGATGCTCACCAGCCTGTAAATCAGAGGTCTGCTGGAAGCCAGGCTGCTTCCCAGTACAAAGTGGAGCAGAGCAAGACAGTAACCAGCTCTGGCTGTCACAGCCTGTGGAATGCCCATGTCACCAAGGAAGGTGTGACCCAGACCAGGATGGTTTCACACTGCCCAAGAAGGGCAAGCACCAGGTCCAGAATGTGACCGTGAAATTTTCATTAGTGCTGCAAAGGCAAAAAGGAGAGAACAGCTGTTGATGCTGGAGTGTGTGCTGTTAGTTCAGCAGTCTACTCTCTTAAATAATTCAGTTTTAGCAGCTGCAGATGCTCTGATTAATTGGAAAGGCTGGGTAGCTCTGGATGCTGCAGAAGCTGTTTGATCTCAGAGGCTGGGCATGGAATGAAAGGAAGACTTCTTTAAGCGGGCACTGAAAGGTGATCACTATTTCTTATGTCACTGGTTCTTTTTCCTAAGAAACCATGGAGCTGAGTTCATCTTCTGAGCTCCTGCATTGTCTCCATGAGTTTGCAGCTGTCCTGAGCTCTCCTGCTCTGACCATAATGCATCCTTTGTAGTACTGAAGGCAATGAAGCTGAAAACTCCTAAGAGCAGGGATCCTCCTGTTCCCTTGCCGGGAAGACAAGCTACTCAATATCAGTAAGCTGGGAACTGCTGGGTCCACCTGAAGCAGCTCTGACCTGCACTCTCCATTTATGCCCAGGTACCCTCACACTGCCAGGGCTGTTTCCTAAAGCAGCCACCAGCTGTCAGCAGCAGCTTGCAGCCACTGAGACCCCGAGGCCAAAGCTGTTCCCCAAGAAACAGGTCCTAGCAAGACCATTTCCACAGCCAGCTGCACTGGGAACAGCTGATACAGATATTTGCCCATGATAACCATCAGGCTTACAAGTGTTTGGCAGCACGCTCACCCTGTGGAAGTTTTTCAGTTTGGGAGGAGGGCTGTCACGGAGTCTCTTCATTGCCTGGACTGGAGAATCACTGAAGTAGGGGGGTTCTCCATCTACCATCTCTATCACCATGATCCCCAGGGACCAGATATCTACCTGTGGGAGACAATGTCACATCAATACACACACTCCAGAGGAATCCGTCCTTATTTTGTTGCTTTCACAAAGACCACAATGCCACACCCATGACAAATGGTACCAAGAGAGTCCAACACTGATGCCCTTAATGCTTTTGGGCTCCTTACAGGAGCCTAACAAAGTCAATTTTGCACCCAGAACTGAGCCATGCTGGTGTTGCAACATGTAAAAGTGTGCAAGTAACTGCTTGTATCTGGCTGGTTGGTAAACAAAACTAGTCAGGCTACTGCCACCTGCCCAGAACTCCAGAGTTCTCATGTCTGCTTTCTCGGAGGTGAGCCTCTCAGAGCTCACATCTCCCCTCCATTCCTTTATGGAATTGATTTACTGATCCCTATAATGTCACAGGCTGCTCCTTGCTCACATCTGCCCACAGCAGATACAAGTCTGGGCCAAACTTTATGTGTAAAAATAAAAAAAGTTGATGCCTTGTTCCTAGAAGCAGAACAATCTGGTTTTCTACTGATTTAGGAAATACTGATGTCGTCACCATCAAAGGTGTAGTCATAGTTGGGTTTATTTTCTAAATAGAATCTAGAGACTTGCTAGAAAAGCCAATAGTTATTTTCCCATGACACTTCAGAATATTACTTGCTCTCCTGCTATTAGGGAAGCGGTCCCTTACCTCAGTAGTGTATGGTATCCTTGCAATGACTTCTGGAGCCATCCAATAAGGAGTACCCACCAGGGATTTTCTTTTAGGTACATCTTTACTGATCTGAGCACAGAAGCCAAAATCAGAGAGTTTGACCTGTACCAAGAGAAAAGCAACCAATCTTGAAAATAAGCCTTAAACAACCCAGAGGGAAACACCACAGACAAAGATGAAAAAGAGAGTAAGAGGATGAGGGGAAAACAAGGGATTGGAAACAGAAAGGAAGTAAGAGACAAAGGCTACAGCAGCAGAAGACAGGAAACAATTTGTCTGAGGAAACATACCCTGCCATCCAACGTCAGAAGAATGGAGTCGCTCTTGATGTCTCGGTGAATGACCCCCTGGGAGTGGAGATAGGACAGAGCCTGCAGCACCGACTCACACACTGTGGCAATCTGCTCCTCGTTCAGCCTGCAATTAGAGACAGGGGACTTAAACTGTGCAGAGCACAGTGCTCCTTCACAGGGGCACAGGGGTTTAAACACAGACACTTTGGTTCCCCATGACAATCACCATCTTGCCTTCACCATTCTTCCATGTCTGTTACTGAGGAAAACATTTTTTTACTTGATGGTTGACAGCTTTTAAGTTTTCATAGGTTTAATACTGAGAAATTGCACTTCAAATTCTGTACCGAAACTCATTCTGCAAGATGCTGTTTCAAGCAGTTCTGACAGGCAGCAGTGCTGCTTGATGCCAAGGTGCTGCAGGAACTGGTGAGACAGCTTTTTTTAAGCAAATACAGTAAAGACATTATTCACAAGGCTTATTGTGCAACTGTATCCACAAAACATCCAAAAGCATAATTTGACAGCAAGTATAGGGATCCTTTAGGTGTTTCCTGCAGACACTTGGGGTACACTCACACCTAACTAAAGGCAGCACAGGCTACAAGCAGAGAAGACACTACTGATTTCTACCACTGTTAGCACATGGAATATGAGCCCCAAGAACCCCCTCTTTAGAAGCTGCTGCTGTTTAGAATAGCATCACAAAAATCTTCACAACTGAGTGAAAATGGTAGAAATAAAAATTCTTTCCTGTATCCTGTACCAGTGACAGCTCTGCATGTTTACACTGAGCAGTGCTAGAAGTAAATTATTTCAAAGAATAGCTGAAGTACCCAATTTGAGTACTGTGGATTCTCAGCCTGTCTCTAGTAGTTGTTCTGAACAACCCCTGGTTGAGGACAGAAATGAAATGTCCTCAAATTTGGATCTGCAAGTGAGCCTAAGGAGAAGAAAGCATTCAGAAAGCAGAACTGTGCAGTGAACAATACCTTCTAAATCCATAACAATTCCTACACTATCAGCTGAGAAATCTACACTTGTGCTGCTTGTTTGGCATCCCATACCTTCCTGTTCCAAACCAGGACAGCTACAAGGCTGTAGCTGCACTGTGGCACACTGATGGCAATTAAATCTGAAGGGTGTCAGGGGGCTACTTCTGCCTTTATGATTTAACCTGAAAAGGGAGAGGGACAAAGGCTACATGTGGGACTTCCCAGCACAGAACCCAGTGCCTTTAGGAACAGTGCTTTTCCTTTCATAGTGCCTGAGCTGATACACCTGAAAGCCCTGTGGTTCCAGAAAATCACAAGAGGTGCACTTTCGCCCTGTCACGTAAGGAATTTGGTTTCAGTCAAGTGACTGCACACTGTAAAACAGATTACTGGAGGATTACCTCACTCCTGGAGATGTAAATCACTTATCCCCCTCAGCAAAAGTTTAATGGCTGCAATGATGGCATTTTTCTTCCTGGGAAAAACTGATAAAGGTTTGCAGCTTATTTCTGATAAATGTTACTGTTACAACAGATCCTTGTTCCATCATGAGGAAAAAAAACCCCAAACATTCATTAACAGGTTCAAAGGCAGCTTCTTAAAACAAACCTAGGCTGAGGTCTCACTGGTGGATATAAATACACAGACCCTTCATAAACCTCTTCATCACTCTTTATCTGTAATTCAGTACTAGCCAAGAGCTACAAGAGTTTCATTTGCCCTGTAAGCTGTAACTGAGCACTCCTCAGGATTAAATGTTGGCTTGCAGACCCTAAAATGCCTCTGAACTCAATTCTGGAAGGGCCTGCCCACGTAAGTATCTCCAGGATACTTCTTCCAGGTGGGGTTGTGGAGGCTACAGAGGACATGTGGCTCTTGATGCCTGTCAAAATTGTACTTCCAAAACTCAGAACCCAATAGAGCAAGATACATGCCTTAAAGACACATGCCACCAAGCAGAGTAAGGTACATGCCTTAAACCCACCACAGGACCTAGGCAAAGCACGTGTGTGAACTAAAGGTATACTAGGAATTTTTAATAACTGAATACAATTAGTGCTAGCAATACTGCCTAACTGCAATCCAGTTAAGATCCTGAATCTTCCAAAAAGAAACTCTCATCCTACACACTTTCTTTGTCACCCTTTCCACTGGCATTCCCTGTCCCAGTTTCCAGCCTTGCAGGATGGCTCTGAAGCAGGAGGAAGGTGCTCCAGAGTCATGGGTAAGACACAATCACCATAACTGCATCATCAGAACACCTTCTGAGAAGGACCAGAGGCCACCTGAGAACAACTTATTTGCCCTACAGAAATGCTTTGGGTACTACTGAATATGAAGCAGTGTAGATAAGGAAACAAATTTAGGAGAGTGTCCAGTAGTTGCTATCTTTAGGCAATGAAATTTGGGAAGGAGTCCAGATCTCAAGGCTCTGCTGCACTTCTCCAGAGGAGGTAGTGAGGTTGAATTTGTGGCTAAGGTTGCACCACGGAAAACTATTTCTTTAATACTTATTCAATGAAGGTCCTGGCCAGGATTCAACAGATACAGTAAACACTTTTTATGAGCAGTGTGTTTTACAGGGAAGGTCATCAAGGAGATTACTAGTGGGTATCTAATGGATCAGTACTTTAAAGTAGTCCCTTCTACATCAGAAGTAATATCGCATATTCAAAACGGGTAGCAGTTATAAACTTGTGGTAGTTTTAGGGCACTGCAAACACAAGATCTCTGAGGGAACCAATTTGTCCCAGAAATCCCCATTCTGCTGTCCTTGCTCTCCCACGTTGATGTCTGGGATTTTGCTTTATACCTGATCTGAGACACAATGTCTGTGAGGGCTCCTCCCTGCAGGAACTCCATCAGCACCCAGAGCTCCTCTCCCACAAGGTAGCTCTTGTACATCTCCACGACGTTGACGTGTTGATAGTCCCTCATTATCACCACCTGTAAAACCACAGTGGACAAGTGACCACCACAAAATCACTCACCAACTTCATCTTATCCAACCAAGTAAGCACACACAGCCCTGTAACTACAGTGCAGAGCCTCCATCCCCCCAGCAATAGTTGTTATTGCTATGAGCATAACACTACTAAAAGGAAGATGATCCCACTCTTCCCTTTCCTCTGCCACACTGATTGTTCAACAGATTCTGCAGATAGTAGAATCCCCCTGTCTTCAGCACCCTCACCTCATTGAAGAGGAGCTCCCGGCGCTGCTGCTTCCTCAGATCCATCATTTTCACGGCCACCTGGCGCCCCGAGTGCTTCTCCCGAGCGATGCACACGATTCCTGTGGAGCCTTCCCCAATCTTGATGTAATTCTCCAGCAATGCCCTGGGATCTCCCTGGTCCACAACCATCCTGAGGGCAGCCTTGAATTGCTCGTGAGTCACAACCACAGGGTCCTCGCTGGCTGGCTGCCCCTTCCCAGCAGAGTCCTGGGGCAGGTGGAGGTTGCTGGAACTGGTCTGGGTCTGCCGGTTCCTGGGGGACCCTGCTGGGGAGGGCCGGCCTGGTGGCACTGCCACGGCCTTCTCTGCTGTTGGGGACTTCTGGGGGGTCCCAGCTTCGGATATCATCCTGGGGAACTCGGAGGCAGGCTGGTCTGGAGGGAGAGACTGGGCTTTGGCTGCAGGGCTGAGGGGGGAACCCCACTGCTGGGACTTGAAGAAAGCATTAGGCTTTAAGAAGAACAAAGGGAGAGAAGAAACAAATTAATGGTTGAATTAACAAGCAGAGAGGTGAGGAATCAGTTCTGTGTCATCCCACTCTGCCCTAACACACCTTGGAGCAGACTGGAATCAAGAGCTTCAGGTTCTTGTCTCCAGGTCTGCCCAACACATGGCTTGGATGAAGATCTCCTTAGATGCAGATCTTCAAGAATCCCTTAGGGAATGGGTGCTACGCTTTAGTGGCCTCCAAATTGAGGCAGTTTAAAGGGAACATGCTTTTAAAAAACCACCAAGACACAAAACCCACAGAAAAAAACCCCAGCTGCTAAAAAGCATTCCAACCTTGCCACCAAAAATCAGGGGCAACCTGTGCTGCAGAGAATTTGAAAATCCTTTATCCCTCCATGCCTCTGATCTTCCTTTGTATAAAAGGAAAGGGGATTCATGCCAAGGCTGTAAATCACTTTGAAGTCTTGGCCTAATTCCCTTTGGGTAATTACACTCTGCCTACTGAAAACACTCTCTGCACTTTCCACTGGTACCTGCAGAGCATTCCTGTCGATCAGGCATGGAATTAGCTCTCCACTTTGGGAAAAGCACCAGGCACCAGGACAGCTGGAGGCAGCCAACGTGAGACTCCAGCTACACAGAGCCACCTGCCACCTCACTGGCTTAAAACTGACCTGCTGTGAATTTGGATTAGCAATGCTCGAGGTTTTTTGAGACCTCCCACTCAAATGACAAGCAGGCCCAACCCTATTTAGTGTAGATGTAGTAAGATCACAGCCTGTGGGAATGTGGCTTCAGGATATGCATTCCCATGCCAGGAAGGATAAATATTGTCGTGCTAATACTCACCCTGGAAATGCTGACTAATTAAAATCAACAACACTTAGCAGGTGGGGTACAAAATACATTATATACGTACATATGTATATGTAAAATATACATAGTATATGTATATAAATATATGCAAAATAATAGTAGATCTGTCAAAGAAGCAACTTCAGAAAGAGCCCATCATTTATATTACAGGGCAAAATAGAAACTTCAAAGCAAAAAGCTTTTTCTCTCTCACAATTCAGAGAGATTATTAATAAAGTTAATAATATGGGCATGGGAACTGAAAACTGCCAATCAAGAATTTTTTACAAGAGCACTCATTTTCCCTGTCTCAGACAGGGAATAATTGTGTAGGATTTAATTCTATGCACTTTGGGTTTTAATCAAGGATTTTTGTCAAGAGCAGAATCTGCATAAGCCTCACACACAGAGAGGCCCTGGAAAACACGATTTAGCAGCATCAGGGCACAGCACAAACACAACTGCCTGTCAGGAGCTCCTTCCTCCCCATACACCAGCTCCACCCCTGCAGTCCTGTGCTAACATGCTCACAGCAACACAGAATTTACTTCCCAAATCTTGTTTTGTCTCAGGAGAGAGAAAAAAACCCACGTTTTACATAACCCAGAGCATGCATAAGGGCACACAACATGCATGCAAGCTCACACAGGTTTGCTTAACCACATCTAAGTCTTATTTCCTGCTCCTATAATCTGACGGTCCCCATGTACATGTTTTAGGTCTTGGGACATTTTGAGGTGTCACTGGCTCTTCCACTCTTTCCCTTCATAAGGAAGGTGCACTCAAACTTACCATGGTGCTTTTCAAGGCACCACCTTCCCATTTCAGCCAGCTACCCAGCCAAGTGGTGGATGCTCCATCTCTGGAAGTGTTCAAGACCACGTTGGAGCAGCCTGGTCTAGTGGAACCCGATGGACACTGATGTCTCTACCAACCCAAACCAGTCTGGGATTCCATGATTCAGTTATATCCCTGTCCCTTTCATCTGCAATTACATACTTCTTACACATCATCAGCTCCATTAGAGCAGGAGACCCAAGTTTTCATCATCAGAGGCTGGTAAGAACATCTTAGATAAACAATTATCAGGGATGGCACAGATCCCTCACTGGAGTAGGAGACAGATTAGTCTTAAGGGTCTTCCCTATTCCTTTCCTCTGACAGACAGCTGGACTTTACACACTCCCAAGCACATCCACTTGGTTGGTAACTTCTGGTCCTGCTCCTAGAAGTGCTGAACATGGCAAAGACACTCTGGGGAAGACAAAAGTGGCCAGCTCTAGGTACCCAGGGGACAGGCCTCGAAGCAGTGTAGATCAGCCCAGAGCCACTGAGACAGCAATAAGTGCAGTTTGTGTTACACAAGGACTGCATTCTTTCAAAATCCTCGCCCTTGGAAAGGAAACCCACTGTGCCCAAAGCCTTGGATCCTTACGCAAACTGCAAGAAGCTGGGTTGGAGACATCTCCCTGCAACACCTTTCAGAACAGTCAGGTTGGTTTGGACAGTGGTTCCTGTCACTGTCCTCACAGTTCACAGCTGCTGGGAATCAACCTGGCCCAGCACCAGCTTTAAAGCCACCATACAAGCCGTGCACAGATGATGGATGCTGGGTCAGCCCAGAATGGAAAAGAAGCAATGGCTGCATTTCCTATCCAGTACCAGGAACCAGAGATTTTCAGCTTAACAAGAAATGAGTCATCCATTCAGGACAGCTTTCCTGGGGGAGCTGTAGCTATGAGCTGTCCCACCCTTTACAAAATCCAACAGTCTGATTTCCTGTGTGACAGCACCGTGGGTGCTGATGCAAACCCTGCTGCTGTAGTGGCCTGGCAGATATAGCTATAACCAACACACTCTCCCGAGTTAGTTCTGGTTTGCACAGGCAGAAGGATACACTAATGCAAATCATGGCAATTTCCCAAATGGCAAAGGCTTTTTGGGGCCAGCAGAATGGCATTGCAGTTATGCCTTTACCTCACAGAAGGTAATGACTAAGACCCCTCATCCTTCCCAGCCCACGCTCCTGCAGCTCCGCCAAACCTTCTGCTGGAGATCTGGCTGCCATCCTGAGCTGTGCCTTGCAGCATCTCGTGAAGCTCAGGCGGACCACACATTTCCTCTGCTCAGGACTATTTTGATTCCAACATTAATCATAACAAGAACAGATGGTTGCCCGATGTTTGCAATTAAATTGGCTGCATATGTAACCTCTGGAACTGTAAAGTCAACACTGCAGTCCGGTGAATGAATATCTCTTACCTTGATCTGCAGGGGAGGGCCTGGCTTGCTTGAGGCGGTGGACAAGGGGAACACGCTGCGCAAGAGCCTCCTCTTCAGGCTGTTCTCCCGTGATTTGGAGCTGGGGCTGCCCTCCCCCGAGGGTCTGGCGCTGGGCTGTCGCTGCAGCCAGCTCTCTTCCGGGCCCTTCAGTGCCGTCTCGCCCTCCCCCGGCACGGCGGGCACCTGCGGCAGCCCAGAGGAGCGCTGCAGGCAGCTGCCATCGGCGCCCTGGAACTCCGACGGACCCAGGGACTGGGCTTTTGTCACCATCCCGTTGGGATGACACTGCCCTTCCAGGCGGGATTTGTAATCTGGCCACATGGTTTGCCTCCGGGCCACCTTGGACCCACCATTGCAGTTGAGGTAGTTCCCATACTTGTCTGCCCAGTCTCCTTCAGGACTCTGAAGGTACATGTCTGGGGGTCTCTCATCTCCCAGGAGCCCAAGGGACTGGGCTCTTCTCCTGCTGGTGGGGCTCCTGCCCCTCAGAGTGTTCGAGCTGATGGCAGAAAGCTTCTGGATGTCATTGAGCAACCCAGAGATGTAACCTTCCACTTCCACGGTGCTGCCCCGCACCACAGTCTGGGAAATACAGGGAAGGTGAGAAACAAGGCAGAGTTGTAAGAATTAAGGCTCAATTTGTATTGCCAAAGGTTAGATTTTGTACATATAGCCAAAGACAACTCAAGGAATTCAGGAAAAATTACCAATTTTCATATTTTGTTTCATTGTCCTTTACTGAGGGAAAAAAAAAAGTCCTTGGGTTACATCCCACTGTCAGAGCAGCAGTGCTGTCAGCCAGAACAGTCAATTCTGCTGTTGTGCTCACATTCTAAAAGACATCCTACTTTTGCACTAATATTATTTCAACACTCGTGGCTTTCTTGTGCTGAAACTGTGTGACACTACATATATCACTAATGCACTCACCAAGCTCCTGAAATATTAGTGCTCAGAAGTTCCAGCATGCTGCAAGCTCCATTTGCAAAACTCACCTTTGCTGTGCCAACACAAGGTTCATCTCTCCCCTGAAGCACTCTCAATAGCGTTGTAATCAGCGTCCCTCAGTCTGCTTCTCTACAATTTCTGCTAATACATCCCAATCCTGACCAGTGCAGACTATGCTGTTCCAACTCTGCCTCCCTGCTCTGCTCTGCCAAGCTATTATAATTAAAAATTATGAACAAAGGGTCACAGCAGCTCACAACTGCCTTGTAAGCAAACGCTGAAGAACAAGGCTTCCATCCAAACAGGCACCGGCTCTGTACAGTAGGACGCTTGAAGCTGTTGGTATATTATGTAGTCTTCTACCTTTTTTTTTTTTTTGTCTGGAACTGAAAAGCTTACAGAAGCTTTTCTGGTGCTGGGAACCAAAATATTTCATTTCTCTACAGAAATTTGCAGCACAGGATCACTCCTACACTTTCATGAACTTCTGCCTGAGGAAAGTCCTTCCCTGGAGTGACAGCAATCTCCTGTTTGCTAACTGAGCTCCAGGGATCTTCTAAACATGCTGAATTAATTACACTGAGACTAATACTTAGCTGGTGCAACACAGTAGCTCCAGTAATTTCAACAGAACACTACCACAGTGCACAAACGAGCACCTGGTTTGCTCAGTGTCTGAGAATGAAAGGCAAAACAGAAGATTTTTGTTCAACAAGGTGAAGAAAGGACAACTCAACTCACTCCATGGTGCACACACACCAGCTGCAGCTGGAAATTCTGGTCTTCACTCCTACTCTCTCACCACACACACACCCCCCTTCCTCCACAGCCTAGCTGCTGTCACGGAACAATGGGCTCAGGACATGAACTTTTTGTCCAAAATGGACAAAAGCAATTCCAGAAAGACATGGGTATTCTCAAAATAAGAAGCCTCAAACAACATGCTACGGACTCTCCAGAAAATCCACTGCAGTTCTCTCCTTCTAGATAAAACTCCCTAGAATTAGACTCAAGTCACTCCCATGAAATCAGACCTAACCCCAGCAGACAGGGAAGATGGGAGTTAATCTTGCTTTACTGCTGTGTTTAAGGATCGCAACAGATTAACGAGGAAACATCCAAATTTGAGCCAAATGTATATGGAGTGCTCTTACATAGTTCATGACTTACTGACCAAAACTGAGAAATTATAACAAGAAAAGCACCTTTTTATAAACTACACACAGACCCAGGAACTACTCTGATAATTTAATCCAGGACTATATACAAGGGCTTGGCCAACTAGCACCTGGGGGGAAAAAAAAAATCTAATTGATTGGTATCATTGAACAGGAGTTAATTCAAATAGAGTTTACCAGAAAGAGTCAGCTTTGTTATGCAGTCTATGAGAGTGTTTGCATTTTGAATTACTGGGAAAAAGTGTTAGTTTAAGATGATTCTTTAGTTTTTTTAAAGCCTGTTGGCTATTCTGTCCTCGTTCTCTTAGGATTTGCACCTCCTTTCAAGCTTTTACCATCCTTGGGTTTAGTAAGTCAGACATGAAAGTCCTGACCGCATAAGGCTCAGGGCAAACTCCAGGAAATCTCTTCACACACCTCTGTTTCAACAGTGATGCCTCACTATTTTTTGAGCATCCTTGGCCTGTTACTTGAGGAAACTTGGCTTGGTCTGGAAAAGGCATCGGTGTAGTGCCCAGAGCCTCACTGAAGTCAAGATACAGGGAAGTGCTATCACTTCTCCTGACCCAAAGCCCCCTACCCTGTGATTAATGAAAACCGAGTTGCTTGACGTGATTATTTTCTTGATAAATCCATACTGGCTGCCAGCTATTACCCTGCTATCTCCTTGGAAATGGCTGCAAATAGATTACTTGCTTATTTGTTCCAGCCTCTTTCTGAGGACAGAAATTATTCTGACTGATCTGCAATTCCTTGAATTTCATTAGGCCCAGCTGACTTGAAAATATGGAACTTCTTAGCTAAGTCTCATTTCTGTTCCTGTTCTTTTCTTATTCTGGCCTGCATTCTCATCCCTTCATCCTCATGCTAATTGTCAGCCCACTGATCACACTTAATGAAGACCAGAGAAAAATCACTAAACACTTAGGAATTCACAGTGTCATCTGTTAACTTGCTTCCAAAGCCAGCAGCTAAAAAGTTCTTTCCTTCATCCTTCTTCTCCTCCTCATTGCACTCATCACGTGTCCTTAGTGCCCTTTATGTTCTTTGAGAATAACATTTCTTTTTGTGCACTGCCCTTCCAGTTTTGCTCCTACATGAATTTCTTTTCTCTTTGCCCTTTATAACTTGACCTAGTTTCCACCCTTCTGAGCAATCCTCCTGCAGTTTAAGCTCATTACAGAGCTCCCGATCTAACCAAGTTGGTCTCTTATTACACATTTTATCTCTCCTCTGGATTGTGCTCCTACCCTCTACTACATTTTGAACCTCAAAGCACATATAGGACACCAGGTAATACCTCCTGCCTTTTTTTTTTTTTCACCTATTCTTCCTAAGCAAGTTTTTCCTTTATAAACCAGCATTCTGCTCAAAGATCCTGACGAGCCACTTCATTTGCAGGTTTGATTATGTACTGAAGCTTACATTAAACCAAATATAGTCCCCTTTATTCTCCATGCTTTAAGCACCTGTACACAAAAAGCTAAATATATTCATCAGATAGCCAACTCTTTTTTATATCCCTCCTAAAACCCAAGTAGCAACATCTCTATTTTACAACACACCTTTCAGTTTTTAGGCCCCTGCAGGGTTTTCCTTTTTTAACTGGGAACAAAAACTTCTCCCAAGCAAGCAAGATTTCAAGCACAATATTTCTGTCACCATCTTTAATTTCCTTTCCTGAGAGGTCACCAGGAAGTTGTCTTTTCCCACAGCATGTTCCCGGCTGTCACTCACACAGTCTCCAGATGCCAGGACCAGCAGCCATCTAAACTCACCCATTTACAGGAATCACTTTTTCCTTACTGAAGGACACTGTCCCATTACTATGTCCCACTTTCCATTAAGATGCTGGTTTATTTACCATTTTAGCCCAGACCCTAGTTTAGTCCTTGTGGTCCTCACTTGTCCATAAACTGCAAGGCAGTGCTACATTTCTCTCTCTCCCACTCAGGCTTCCCTGGCAACTTCATTACCAGCCAAATTTGCTCACGAAGGAGAATTACAACCTTCTAAAAACAGGTCTCTCCACAAATTCTTCTCTTGGCTTCCCCTGTACAACAGCTGAAAGCATCCTGGCTCCTGTCAGCTACCACAGGAGCTTTCACAGGACCCCATCACTGTGACAGGCAGCCAGCTGGTTATTTCAACAGTGACAGCAACAAGTAAAGATCCTACTGCTCTTATTCCTGATGAAGTCAATATCACTGAATTTGACACAGATACCACCCTCAGTCCCATTTATGGGACACCAGAAGTAGTGCCTCAACTTGGAGGCAACTCCCCAAGGAACAGGAAAAACTGTCTGCCTCCCTCACCTTCATAGGCTGGAGCTGCATCCTTGTGATTCTCGAAGGGTCTACCACTGGCTTGGGGCGCCTCAGCGTGTCCAGAATATTCTGCCATTGAGGTGGCAGGCCCACAAATTTGCCCTCCTTTGGGTCAAATGAGGTGTGGACACGGTGCTCAAAGTTCTGCGGGGCCGAGATCTCCGGGCGTTTCTTCTTCTTCTTACGGAACATGACGCCTGAAGGGGAGAAGGCAACACCGTCAGTGCCCGTCTAGGGCTGAAGTGTCCAAGCAGTAAAATCAGGTATCAATTCTATGAGTTAAATATGTTGTTTTGAGAACATTTTTCAGTGAAAAGCACTTCATCAGGAGTTGATCACCTGCTTTTATAGATGAGGAAACAGGCAGCAAGATAGCAATGATTGTGCCCAAGGCCACCTTGCAGGTTCATGGCTCAGATGGGACTTCTAGTGACTTCCCTTATTTCTACAAATTCATATTGCCTGATAAAACTATTTTAAAAGTAATTAAGAGATACATATTTATATTTTATCTGCTTATACCTACATTAAATGGCTTTGGAGTCCAGCCAGTTAGACAGCATTGATTCCACCACAAGCCTGAAATTTAAGGTGGCAATAAACAGGGCTCAGGTTTTCTTTTCACTGCTTACTCCAAGTAAGTAATATCCACTTGGTTCCCATTAAAAGACAGCAGAGCTGTTGCCAAAGGAAGAGCTGCCAGAGACTGACTCTGGATCTCAGTTTTTCTTGCTTAGACAGAGGGCTCAGGAGGGAGAGAGGAGGTGGTAGGTGGAAATCAAACTCTGTCAGCAGGTAGCTGAAGAAGCTAAAATTAAAAACTAAGACTCTTTTCCCTTGGGGGCTTGAGAGAGACAGCTTGTGTGAACAGCCAGTGCAAGTGCAACAAGCCAGAAGCACCTAACACTGAAATATACCCAAACACAGGAGGCTTCAAAACCTGAAATAAGAATTTATAAACAAATTTATAACCAAAAAAGATACTTGGACAGAAAGCTCAGAGACTGGACCTTTCTGAAATCAGGAAGATATGAAGGAAAAGGAAGAATCAGAGTTCTGCATGCAGACAAGAGGTGGGAAAGCTGGAGGACTGCAGTGGATTGACACAACCTCTTCACAAAAACCAGACAGGGAAGAGAGGGTGAGGTAAGGAGATTTTCTATGGAGAGCCAGGTTTTTCACAGTGGGGAGTGATGGGAGTGAGAGACAGGCATAAATCAAAACAGGAGCGGTCCCAACAGCATAGAAGGAAAAGTTTTCCTGTGACCAGGAGAGTCTAACATTGGAGCAGCCTGCCCAGACAGGCTGGGCAGGCTCCATCCTCAGGGGTTTGCTCTCAAAGCCAAAGCCCTGAGTAATCCAGCCTGACCCTCCAAGCTGACCCTGCCTTGAGCAGGGGGTTGGGCTGCACCTCTCAAGGTCCCTTTTCCTCTGAAATGTTCTTTGACTCTATTCACTGCTTTAGGAAAAAGCTGCACAGGTTTTTTTAAAGCAATTAGCATCTGTCAATAAACAAAAACAATATTTGTATGTTCTTCCTTTTCCACAAACAATGTTCTATTGGCATTTGCCTCTCACTAACACTGCTTACAGCCATGAATGCCATCTCTTCCCTGACATCAGGCTGAGGATTTTTGCCACTTAATCTTCAACTTTGTAGCAGTCACTCTTGCCCTGTACAGGACCTCAGCTTCCAACTATTTGTCCCGAATAAATATTTACAAGGGTCAGAGAGACAGACCACATAGAGAGATAACCCACTGCGGTGTAGACATGAACACACTTCTGGAGGACACCAGTCTCCAAAATCAGCACATCACAGTGAAATCTATGTCAAACATTTTCCAGATTGTCCCACTCTGAACTTGTTTAGGGAGCAAAGTGCAGCCACCACCTGAACAATGACACTGCTCCCTGGTGCTAGACTGGAGTCTTGAAAATCCAATACACAATGGCTCCCAGTTTGGTTACAACGATGCTACAGTCACAGGGATAGGAAGTGTTTGTATGGCAGAGAAGGATCTTTGCTCCATCTAACCCCCCCCATTCATGCAATCCATCCTTGGTGAAACACCAACTTCACGTGCACTGTCCATTTCAACAGCCCACTAAAGATACCTCACAGGTCAAAAAGAAAACAAAAGGTTAGGAAAGAAAAAAAACAAACAAAAAGCTTACAAAAGAGGCTGGAAGCAACTGGTCTGCCTAGAAGAGATTTTTCCAAATAATCTTTGCTTAGAACAAGCTCCAATGAAAACCCAAATACATCTTAATGGAGAGCTTATGGGAATGGTGTCTGTGCTCCAGGTCTGTATTGCAGCTCCTCAAACACAGTGATTCATCTCTCAGGCCCCTTAGGTGGTGCTTATTAACTAATAATCATGACTAAAGTCAGAGGGCAATTCTTTAAGGAAAAAAAAGTGCAGACAATCCCAGAAAGGAAAGATACTCTAATAGCTCGTGGTGTTAGTAGTGCTCAAACCAACAGCTGGAGCTGCTGAGGAGCTTAAGAGCCTCCAAGGAAAGCAGGGAGTATCTCTGTAGTATTGCAGCAAGTGATTCAGTTCTGAATCCTTGACTGCATGTGAGTTGTGACAGCTCCTTGATCCATCTTGACTCTACCACAGCAATCCCAGTGATCATACTATTTCAACTAGTACCTCTTCTTCTGCTCCTATTCCCACAGCTTCATGAGAGGATACCCAGGGCACAGCAGACAGTCTTAAGTTTGGTTTTTAAGTGCTTTATGTGGCAAAGGGTCCTGTAAAGCAGGGTGTTACAAATGCCACAATTGTTCGCACTTGTAGCATCAATGGTTTTCTGAACACGTCAGGCATTTCCCCATAACAAAAATTATTCTGGCTTAAGTATTTCAAAATGCAAAATTTTAAAGCCCAGGTGATATTTTGGCCCCAACGAGAACAGTGGCTCTATTTCACCATCTCAGTTTGCAGAAGTATAAACACAACACTACATTTGTATATTTACATAAAATCCCTATCCCTGACAATCAACATGTGGACTACAGTTGGATCCCATAGCCAAAAGCATGCTTCCAAAACCCAGAAAGGAGCACCTACTGACTTCATGGTCAGTTTTAAGTGACTGGTTGGCATGGCCTGCATCTACCTTATTGGCTTAAAACAGACAGCTTAAAAACAACAAAATGTAATCATCTCCAAATACAACACACCCCTGGGCATCCAATAGTATTTGCTCTACATGGTCAGCATCAATCCCTGATTATAAAGAGATCAGACAGGTGGTTTAAAGGTAAATTGCATTAGGATCAAATGAAATACATACACTAAAAATAGTTATTTGAAATCCAATGAATTCTAATAATCTTGGTAGGTTTTGCATCTCATTGAGGAGGTCTGTATTTAACCAGTCTCCTTCCACTTTGTGGTTTTCATGCAAGATCTATTTACTTGTATTTCCAATACCCAGCTAAAGAATGTTTATTCTTAAATAAAATACATAAAACCAGGCCTTTTCTAAGTCAGTGAGAAATTCATAAGAACATTTTATGCATATAAGATTTTGTAAATCAAGCCAAACCTGTATTTAAACATAGACAGCATCCCTTTAATATAACAACACAAATACTGTGACACTGATTTTATAATAATCTACTAGACTTTAGTCTTTCATTCAGTGCTGACAACTGTACTGTAAGAAATGTCACAAACATAAATAATAAAAGTCACTACCACAAGACAAAAGCAGTCGGAGATTGAAATTCTCTCAGCGATCCATTCCTGCTGCCTGGGAAACCACGTTAGGTTTTTCAACTCCAGATATAGCTGTTCCTAGATGATACAGTTCCAAAAGCTGTCACATCTGCCAGCGAGCACGAGAAAAAATCCCACAGCCAGCAGATCCAGAGCAGGGGGAGGGATCAACTGGGAAGGAGGGGCAAGAAGAGAGAGGGGTCAGCCTCAGATGAGAGGAAGGGGTGGGAAGATTAAGGCTGGAAAGGGAGTGAGTGTTAGTAAGGTAGAGAGGAATGGTTGGAAGACAGGCGCAACCCGAGGAGGAGGGCACAGTAAAGAAGCAACATCACCCGGAGGGGAAGGAGAAAAAAAAAAAAAAATGAAGTAGATAAATGTTATCAGGAGTGGCTCGTTCCAACGCCCAGACAAAGGCAGCAGCGTGCACTGCCTTTTCACCCGACCTGCCTCCGCCCTGCTCACGTCCAGCCACACGTTCCACTAGGACACCGCGCCGTACGGCGCCGTGCTCTACCCTCCCTCACTCACACATGCACTTGATGATAGCACGGCAGCACAGAGCTACTTCAGTCTCACTTGTGCAGTTTCCAGTTAAAAATAAGCTCTCCCTCCCCCTCCTTGCTGCAGCACTGAACTCGCTCATCAGCTCATTGCGTCGCTATCGCAGATCTGGACGCAGTTCCCTACATTCCTCCTGCCCCGGACGAGAGATAACGCTTGGTCCCTTGGGCTCAGGAAAGCCATTCCCATAATTTCCAAGTCCTCCCACAGCTGATCTGCCAAACTGCTCTGGCCAGCTCCTAGAGGAGAGGGAGAGAAGGAGAACTCTTCCTACAGGACCTGAGGAACTGCAATATGCAGATTGAGTTTGCAGTAGGAAGATGAAGATCCCAGAGAACACACCAAGTAAAAGAAAAAATGTATTTCCATACTCTGCTACTCAGGTCACTGTCATGTGCTGCATTTGAAATGGATTACAGATTAACTAGGCCATTATCCATGCATGTCATATGCATGTGTTCACACAAATGTGTGTGTGAATATGCACACATGGAATTTCACTGCATCCCATACCTTCTAAAATACTCATGTTTGCCTTCCTGAGGTTTCCAACACTCTTAGTCTTTATAACAAGCCATAAACTATCATAGCAGTTTGCAAATAAAGGAAAATGACAGGTTAGGTCCCTGAAGAGCTGACAAACCCAAATGTGACTTCACACAGCAAGGAATGGCAACAAGGGTCAGTGAAACGGAAAAAGAAAAGCCCAGTGGTCCAAAATCTGAAACAGTATCTAAGAGCACTGCCCTGACACCTTCTGCATTCATCTGCAATTCTAGCTTTAGAAATACTGGTTGAAGTACTTTTTTTCCTCCTAAAGGAAGAATGAATATTTCCTAGCTGTGCTATCCTTTTCCTCATTGCAAGTCCTTTCCTTCTATTACTTTCTCCCTCACCAGCCCCCCATGGCAAAGCTGCATGTTGGAGCAAAGCAACAGCACAGCAAACTGATGTAATGCTCTAAATCCTGCCCAAACACACATGAGAGCACAGATTAATATTACATTAGAAATAAGCTTAGGGAGAGACATATTTGTTATATTGGTGGGTTTATTTCTGAGGAATGAGAAGAACAGCACAACTGGCTTGATATTTTTTGGCCGTGCCTCAACTGAGGAGGGTCTGAAGGTGCTGCCTCTCTCTCCCCTGCTCCATTTCCTTGCTCATAAATTAGGACTAAAACCCAGTGAACGCCTATTTGCTCAGCTTGTTTGGGACGCTGCTGGGTTACATACTTTTAGATGTGTTTTAGTTATACCATACCAAATTCATTCTGGGACATATATAAAAGCACTTGCAAGGAAAAGACCTCTTGAACTTTCCAAAACCAGCACAGGCATGTCCCAAATGCTAATGGCCTTTATCCCTTAACAAATAACAAAGTTTTCCATTATTTACAGTCCCCTAGAAATCCCAGCTGAAGTCACCATCCCATTGTGTCTGTCTCTGAAGTCAGGCCCCACCCTCTAGAGGTTTCATCTAAAGAGACTAAAGGTGAGGAAAGGGAATGATTATCCTCATTTGCAGATGAGACAAAAAAAAATTACTAGCCCTGTTTCTTCCCACCTATGTCTAGATGAGCAGATCTACAACATCTCCCAGGTATGTCTCCTGGCTGCTTTTTAACTTTATATCAAGACCAGATCCAGGCCCAACACACCCAGGCTTCCACAGAGAGAAAACATGGGTGCAGAGCCCCAGTGGAGGCCAAGACACGCTCTGACCACAGGTTTGATCTGGACACCAGCACATATGTCCAGAAGCCTTGACAGAACTAAGCATCATAGACAGAAATCACACCCAAACCTCAGCTGCAGTCCAGTGCCTTCATTACAAGACCAGCCTTTCCCCCTTGGGCTCAGTGTGTGAGAGGGTACAGCCACCAAACACTGCTGCAGCACCAGGGAAGGTAGCTCACTCATTGTGTCCTTGACATGCAGAGCCAGCGGGGCGTGTGCTGCATGTCACCAGGCTGAGACCAAAGCCACAACAACTCTGACCCTTCTCCCCCACCTTTTACGTGATTCATGTGGCTCATGTCCTGTTCTGGCTATACCAAGCCACGCTGTGCTGCACCTCTGACACTCACTTCACATCTATACCCCTCCCTGTCCCCTGTCCAAAGAGTAGCTGCATTGTTCCATGGATTTTCCAACATTATTTTGCCATGAAGGATGCATCAGGGTTAAAAACAGGTTGCTGTATTTTGCTGTTAATCCAAAGCACCACAGAGCTTCAAGACAGGGCTTGACTGATTCAGGGCTTCACTCTCCACTGTCTCATATGACAGATCCATTCAAAATCAGCATAAAAGTACTATCAAGATTAGAATAAGAACGTTTAAGGTCCTGTCTCCAAAAATTCACATGAATAGCAACATCTTACATATCAGACATGAGGTTACATTGGGACAAGCCAAGGGGCCACATCTGGCATGTGGGGTCACATGGCAGGGGAAGGAGCCAAGGCACTGGGCTGCAACACTGGGCACCACATCCTGAGGCTCCCTGTCAGCCCTGGAACCTCAGCGCGCTCTTGCACAGCTCGTGGGGTGATGAGGGAGGGGGAAGCTGCAGCTCTGTGTGCAAATGGGCACAGCACAGATTTTACTGTATGCAGGAAGAATCACACACTCAGGGAGCAGGGCTGAATTCTCACAAGCAGACCTGTCCCAACAGAGGCACTGGTGACCACCATCCTGGATCACCATACTTGCTCCAGTAGCACAGCAAAGGGCTGACAGAAACACCCCAGTAATTCCCCAGATGACCCAAGTATAGAGATGCAAGAGTGAAATTTCCTTCCAGATGACACTAAACAATCTCAGTCCCTAGTTATGCTCATCATGTTCTCCCAAAGAGAGAGCTTGTGTTATCCCCACAGGATAACTGATGGGAAAACTGCAGCCCAGGCAGTGTCCCCCAAAACATGGAAGGACAGATTTGTTTAACCCCACAACCTGCCTGACTCTCAGTGCCTTCCTGCTCACTGCTGCCAACACTGAGATGCAAATTTAAATTACAACAGACAAGTCTTCTCCCAGGGAATATCAGTTATCCTGCTCTGTTTGCCACAACTGTGAGTGTTCACACAGCCCTCTGTATGTTAAAACCTGAGATGCACTCCTAACACAAGATAAATGACTGCTGTTGGCTACAGCTACATTCCGTTCATCAATTAATTACAAAATAATCTAATTACTAACAACTACAAGTTAAATGGCTGAGCCCTAGGAAAAGTGTAATTTCCTGAGACATTTTTGAGGGAAATAGATTTCAACTTTTAGTCTCTGGGCACCCTCCATTCCCACTGTTCTATTTTGGCAGACAAATGGAAGGTCAGTCTAAGAACAACAGTACCATTGGTAAGACCAAATGGCAGTGCATTAGCCCCAAACCACACGGTAATCCTGCAACTTTAGAAACCATAATGAGGGATTCCTTAAAAACAAGACCCGTAGCAGCCAAGTGCTGATTTTTGTGCTCCACTGCACTAAGTCTATGACATTATAACTCAAAGTCAGTGAGACTGATGCAGGAGCAGTGTTGGTGACACAGACAAGGAAGCTGCTCCCTAGTCCAGAACCCCCCCGACCAGGTGTCAGAAGTTGCTGGGCTCTCTGCTGAGCAGCACAACTCCTGGTGAGCCTTCAGCTACTCCTCTCACTTGTGTCCTGTCCAGGTACAGAGCACATGTGCTGCTCTGAATGGGATGGAACTTCAGCAGGGTACCCCTGTGGGTGCCCAAAAAACCCTCAAGTGCAATACAGCGCTCAGAGCCTGGCTGTATGTTTTTACTTGCAGTTGGGCTAAGCTAGTCCAAGCTGCTTTAAGCAATTTTGTTTAAAGCAATTTACACAAATATTTAGCTCTTTTCTCTGCTTGTGAATTTCCCTAAGCATATTACAGAAGTAGGTTAAAAAGAGCTCTTTTTCTTGGATTGGAGGCAGGACAGACAAACTTTAAAGAATTCTCCTTAATTTCATTCTCCTTGGGAATGAAAATCATTTTGTGACCAAGCAAGTGTTGTTTCTCACTTTGCAAGCATTGGCAGCAGGACCCAGGGTGGCCTTCCCAGGTACATCCATACCCATACCCAGCTAGACAGAAACAGCCCCTGTGCACAGAGCAGGCTTTTCATCTGGTTGCTAATCCAGCAAGCTATTTGCTGATAGTACTTTCCACTTTTTGATCAGCTTTGCTCTAGACTCATAAATCATTGTTCACACAGCATGCAGCATGTACATACCAAGGCAGCACTGAATGTTAAAAACAATATAAAGCTTCATCACACCATCAGGAATGAGACTTTTCTGTGGGACAGGGCTGGAGAGAGGCAGCAGCTTCCCCTCCTCAACAGCTGTGTTAGGGGCCGACAGGTTGCACCCAAACAGAGAGCTCAGAAAAGCAGACAAAGAGTGGCCAAAGGTCTCTTACTTTCCATACACCCCCCAGCTTCACCTGAGAGCTCACACTCACCAGACACAAATTGCTCTTCTGTTTTTTCAGTGCTCTGTTCCCAAATACATTAAAGCATTAATGCCCTGGCAAAAAAAAAAGAAAGCAAATATTAACAGAAGGGACTGTTTTCTGTCACTGCAAATACCTGCCTGTATGCACTGGTTACTTGACAAAATAATTAAATACAAATGCCCAATAAATCTGTATATTGTAACTTAAATAGAACAAGATTAGGCAGCTTTCAGCCAGCCAAAACACACACACCCAGCCCCACACGAGTACTCCAGGATAGCTTCAGGAGGTGTTCTGAAAGGATCCTGGCCAGCACAGCCGCCAGAAGGTTGGGAATACACACAGGAAGGGTTTAACTAGACCTCTGTGAGTATGGTAGGGTCCTTGCAGATAGAAGATACTTAAGAGCAGACATTGCTCTGTAAAGGCGGTTCCTGACATGCTGTCTGCTCTCTCAAGCATCATCCCGAGTAATTTTTAACCCCTTCTTCACCCCAAGGTTTTAAGAGCATCACCCTGCGAGATTCAACAAGGCATTTTCCCTCCACATTCCCTATACTCTTGAGTGTCAGTTGGCTAAACTACCAGACCTCAGCCCCACACGTTGTCCCACCTCACAGACCGTGGAAAGTAAAATCTACAAGATCTTACTGGCAGTCCTGCTGCAACAATGCTGGTGGTGGACAGTTCCAAGGGAGAGGAGAAAGAAGGGTCTGGAGGTAAACTCTCCCACTGTCATGCAGCAAAGCCGATTGGAGGACGGTGTTGCTGGGCTATAGGAGTAAAGATGAAGCAAGCTCCTTCCCAAAGGAATCCAGATCCCAGTTTTTCTTCCCTTCCAGAAGCATCCCTTGAGAGAAAAAATTTGTATGACCCCCCGAACTATTCCAGTCTCACTTCACCCCAGGCGGGCACTGCCAACACACGTGAGATCATTACACTAATCCATGGCAGTGGCACGGCTCGGCTCCGAAGAGAAGGGGTTAAGCCGAGGCAGCGCAGCCACTGGGAAGCGGAGACTTAGTTTGAACTGACAAACCCAGTCCTCCGTAAACACAGGGAACAAATCCCACGAAACAGCAGCCATTAGGACGGTTGTTCTGGCTTTAAAGCAAGCAAGCAAATCAATGTTGATCCCCAAATCTGCGGGAGGGCGCTTACCCCTGACTCCTCATTGCTCCGTGACCAGAGATGAAGTGAAAATGCTCCGCCACCGGAATCCGCTGACACGTCGATAAACTTGAGAGAGAAAGACGGCAGGAGAAAGCGGGAGAAGAAAAAGGGGTGGAGGCAAGTCTGACATGTTTGTACAGTGCCTGATTCACCTAAGCTGCCGAGTTTGATTTCAGGGTGTGGTAGCAGATGGGACACAGGAGCAATCAGCGTAGAGAAGACTCAGATTCCTGTTCCACGGAAAACGACAGATGCTAACAGCAGAGCCTCTTGGGACCATCTCGCCTTCTTCTCACAGTCTCCTCTCTTGGTCCCTAGAGGGGATGAGAGAGAGAGAGCTCAGAGTCACACCTGGGTACCCCGATGTGCCGGTCTCAGGCAAGAACTTTGGGGAGATCATCTCCCATTCCCCTCTGCCCTTATTCACACCCCACTTCACTGTGGCTTATTAAAGCTCCATTTGTCAGCTCTTCTCTCTCAGCTCCACAGCCTCGGGGCCAGGAGCTGCTGAAGCTTCTAACAAACCCGACATCTCCGCCCGTGTCGCCTAGCTGCAGATTTCGAGACCTGCCACCAATCCCTTGTCATTCCAGGAAGGAAAGCTTTGATTGCTTGCTTTATGGCTCGCTGTAGAAGAATTCACCCCATTTATTTGCATTGCAGATGAGCAGCACATGACCTGGTGCTTTTACTTTTCCCCTGTCCTCACCATGAGTCAGTGCTGCCAGGTCTGGAGTCTGGGATCACCCTCTAATTCAGTTGTGCTGCCTGTGCCTCAGGGTTTACTGACTACTGGAAATAGACTTTCCACAAGCAGCAGGACAGCAGCTCCGGCAGTGCCGGCTGGGCTTGGTGACTGGGCCATCATCAGAGGACACTTAGGGGATTACAGCCTGGAGCGTTTAGAGTTCATGGCAGCAAACCCATCAGCTGCCCTTGCTCCATTGCGAACAAGGGGATTCTTGGCCTATCCAAACTGACAATGCTGGCTTAACCCTCAGATATTTTTAGGTCCAAAGAACAGAGATGTTGACCATAAAAACCCACCCCCGTGACTTTTTAGGTTTTTTAAAATAATATTTGTTTTGTTGAACCACACTTAAATAAATGAGTGGCATGCTACAAATAATCATTAAGTGGTCATTATTGCTGGGAGTGGCCTGTCCTGCAGAGATGAGCCAGCTCAGTGACCTTTTAGCCATGTTCCCCCCATTCCCATTTTCCTCCCCACCTACCTGTCTATTCCAACTAAAATAGCTGCAGTATCTTTGTACCATAGTCTCAGCTGTAGTTGGAATTCATGAGCTTTACAGTACTATCATGGAGAAGGAACAGAACCAAGATTCATAGAGAGAACCTTTTGGAGCTGAAGGTCTGAGGTTCCTAACCCTCATTTCCCAACCTGCTAGCTAAGTTATGGAAGGCTGCTTCCTGAACATGCAGCCACCACTTCTACATTACACTGCAGGTCCCTACCTGCCACAGTGACCCAGGTTTCCTGCCTGTTCCCTCCCCAGGGTATAGGAAATTGAGCTAGCCAGGTTCTTTTCTGTCTGGGGAGTAGCTTCTCTCTCCTACAGGGCAGGCCCCATACAAAGATGTAATCAAAAGAAGGAAAGTTCCCTTTAATAGTAAAAAAATCATAGTAAATAACAAAGGGGGACAGCATTCTTTCCCAACACACTGGAACTCGCAGGGCAGAGCAGTGTGGTGGAGGATCAGGGATGAGGAAGCAGAGTTTGAACCTAGTAGGTGTGGATGGCAAACCATCTCTGTCATCTGTGCACCTGGGCTTTGCTGCCGTGCCAGGCAGCGCGGAGTCATCTGCACAAGCACGGCGTGGGGAGCATCACACACAAACAGCTTCTACAGTCTACAAGGAGTCATCCAGCCTTGGAGCTGACTCCACATTTGCATGAGTATTGTATTTCCTGGGTTACATGTTAGCACAGTCTCTTTCTAGAACAAGCCTTGAGTTCGTTATAAATGGCAGAGCCTGATTTTACTTGTCAAGGCACAAGCTTAGATGAAACCAAGGCAGTTCTGAATCAGTGTGAACCTCTGCTGCCTACAATCTTAATGAAAAATTAGGACACTTTCCAGTCTTTATATTCACAAGTTTGGTCCCAGCAGTCCTGCACACTTTGAAGAAAAATTTCCCAGTAAAAGTGACACGTCTCTAATTTTCCCCTTCAGCAACTATCCCTTCATTACACATTTTACTGCTCCCTGCCTGCCCACTGCTCTCTTCTTAGCTAGAGAATTGCACAAGACAATATAAATAATTATACTGGCGCATTTATATAAACACAGGATACACACCCCACTCCTCCTACGGCTGCTCTCTCAGGTCCCGTCGGTCTCCAGGACAGCCATTCCTGGCAGCAACAAGTGCTGCAGGGTACGTTGACTAAATGTCTGCATTGCAGCCTGCCTGATTTATCTTCCCAGCAAAGGCCATTCCATATTCCATGTCCCCTCCCCAGACACAAAGCAAAGCAAATTTCAGATCCAAAGTGCTGATCTCACCTCGTTCCTCATCCTGCCCAGCCACATCACTGTGCTAGGAGAGCTCCAGGATCTCATATCCTGCACTGCTGCTGCAATAGGTTCCATTTAATCTCATTTAATCATCACTGGAGGAAGAGTTTGTGGTGAAAACCCAATTTTAAAACGTTTTCCTATTCCAACAGGCAACACTGGGCACTTTTAACTTAAAAAATAAAAGGTCCAAAACAGCCAAGCTAACTGTACCATATACAATGTCTGTCTTCTACCTTAGCCAGGAGAAACATACTTGCTCACCTGTCTGAATCTTGTGGAAACTGAGCAAACTCCTAAGGAAAATGGATCTGTATTCAACAGAGCTTCCAGGAAAAACCTAACACCAAGGCGCAGGAAATCTGATACATTCATGAAATCCCAGTAAGAACTACAGCAATTCCACCTATGAAGCCAGGCTGTGGCTCAGGACCAGAATTCCATCAAGTTGTGTTTAGGGATCAGACAGGAAGCAGAAATGCTCTTCCACACAGAATCCCTTCCTTCTCTTTCATGGTTCTGTAAAGCTAGAGAAGCTGGCCGGGAAAGAATACATTTAAGGACTGGGACAAAAGGGTCACTAGGAGAAAGGGTGTGTTGCAAATTCGCACACCAGAACCAACCGGTGGGAGGAAGCACGAGATAGGAATCAAGTCGGGGAGTCTCATAATCAACACATGACAATGATGCCAGGACTGGAGATAAGGAGGGAGCAATCCAGAGGCAGTTTCACTTTAAGTGCTTACAGTTTAGCCACCTTTCCTTAAGGGTATCCCATTTGGAGGTGGGCAGAACATTCCAAGAGAGCATTACCTGGATAGCCAGCTCCAGTGTTTGGGTTATCCTCCTGCTTACTATGCATTGCTGCCATTATCCAGGTAGGATCCTGAGATGCCAGCAGGACAAAGCTCTGCTTGTACTCCAGCTGCATGAGTTCACCCAGTCTTTTTATCCATGGTTTACAGTCTAAACCAGGGGATGTTTTTTCCCAATTAAAAACAAAACACAAATGCATGAGAGCTGAAGAACTCCAAGTTTATCAAGCAAGTCCATCCCCTCTGCCAGAGCTCTGGGTGCTGTCAAAGTTCTGGACACATCCCCACGCTCCTAACTGGCAGGGCAGTGGGGAGCTCAGAGTCCCTCTTTACCCTATGCCAAACAATGCAGACTGGGGCACATGGAAGAAGGGAATTTGTCCTGCTTCAGGCTCACAATGGGTTACAGCCAGGCTCTCCTGGGCCAAACAACTCCTGTGGTGCAACTCCTGTGGTGGAGCAAAGAAACAGCACAAGGACCTGCAAATTCTGCCAAATTTGCAGAAGGCCAGAGGCAAGAAGCACAGAATCATTAAGGCTGGAAAAGATCTCTAAGATCATCAAGTCCAACCTTTGACCCATCACCACCTTGTCAACCAGACCAGAGCACTGAGCACCACATCCAGTCGTTCCTTGAACATCTCAAGGATGATGACTCCACCACTGCCCTGGTGCAGAGTCCCAGTGCCTGACAACTGTTTCAGTGAAGAAAGCAGGTTAAGCTTAAAGAGGGTAAGAAAGCATCAGACTCTCTGAAATTGAAGTTAAAGCTCAAGATCACCTGAACACAGCACACGCTATTTTGCTGCTGGTTAAATTCCTGTGGCTTGGTAGATGTTCCTGCAGATAATATCAATATAGCTTGGAACACAGCCACCTCACACGTCTTCCAGATCTTTTACTTGTAAAAATTCACAGACTTATTTGGTTATAAGAGAAGTAACATCATGGTCCACACCTCACAAGCCTGTGCCACCCTCTACAAAAGATGCTGCTTCTGCTTCCCACAAAAGCCACAGTGATCAGTCCTGCAATGGCAACATCACAGCAGAAAGCTAACACTGCCTACAGATTCCCAGGTCACCTTGGGAAAGGCATTCTGCATGCTGCTAAAATGACTGTGACAATGCTCAACTCCCCCAGAACAGAGGCGGCTTAATCTGTTGTTTTTTCAAGCATGCTGCGATCCTTAAGGATGCTATAGAAATGCAGATTGAAATCCCTCGCTGGCACCAGAGGAATACAGACCACAGCCTCTGTTCTGAATAACTAGGTCAGTCAGCTATCGCTGAAGTATTAGCCAGAATCCAGCGAATTCCTAGTGGCTAAAATAACGGCTGTAAAAGTCTAACACCATTTGCTGCCATTAGTCACTCTACCTCTGGGTACATTCAAACCCAACTCTGCAGAGCTTAGAATAATTTGAGGGTTGGAGCCTATGCTTGTCAAAATCCAAGCACGTGCCTCCGTGCAGCACAGGTTTCCCATCCCACTTGCAGCCGTGTGGAGGCAGGGAACAACTGTCCTTGCAGCCAGCTCAGCCTTACCCTGAAAGCATTCAGCCCAGGAAAATCAGAAAGATGCTCTGCTAATCCCATGCCAGGGAAGAGGCGTCACGTCCCAGCAGCAGCTTCCCTACAGCAAGTACAGGAGAGGGCTTTGACCTGTGGTGGTGAGTGGGTGGCATTTTTGGGGTAAGGCTGATAGAGGCAGAGCAGCTATTCCTCTCTGTGGAAGAAAAGAAGGGAAGGGCTGACAATTGCAATGGGAAGAAGTATCCAAAATTTACTTCAACCCCTTCCAGCTGCTGAGGCTGGATCAAGCATTTGGTTTCCTCTCCCTAGAAGTAGGAGGCAGTTGAAGGGTTAAACCTGGTTGGGGTTTTTTGGTTGGTATTTTTGGGGGTTTTTTTAGTTGTTTGTTTTGTTGCGTTTTTTTACTATTATTTAATTTATTTT